TAATCCACTGTTCATCCGCTCTTTCTATGTTTTCACTTGTAATTACTTACTGATTTACAAAAACTGGCACAATGTCTAAAACAGTCGACACAGTGACGTTTTCTGTGATCTTAGACAGATTTGGATACAAGAGCAGCCAACTGGTGTTGGATTTGCTGCTGAGCACCACGACAGCCTTGCTTTACGTATGCAGTGGCACGGTGGCTTCCCGAGGACTTAATAAAGTACATCCATAGCACTCAGAGGCGTGACAGGGGAATACATTGATCCTGAATTAGAGAGACGAGATTCACTGAGGTGAAAGCAGAGGGGGTGAAGGATGGAGAGCAGAAGGAGGAAGTGGAGGAGGGGACTTGTGCAGCATTGTGTGAGAGAGAAATGGAGGGAGGGAGGGTGAAAATCTGGAGAGACAGAGTTAGAGGAGACAGTTAGAGAGAGAGAAATCTTCATCAAGAAAAAACGAGATGGACAGGAGAGACTGGTAAGGCTGAGTTGTGGCAGCCTGATGTCTTCTTCTGTTTTAATCCTGTGGAACAAGAAGATAAAAGCGCTGAGAGAGACGATGGCGGAAAGGCCTCTGTCTCTCCTCCTTTACCCCCAGAGTGTGAAGGAATGGGGGGATTTAAATTCACACTCTCTTGAGTGTGAGCAAATGATGGGAATTGGTAAAAGATGGCATGTGATGAATATCTGTTGGGCTATGTGCTCAGATTGACAAGATGTCAAAATGATGTCATGAGCTCACAAGTGGTTTAAGTGATGAAGAGAAGAGATGATAAAGGATGGGAGCAACGGAGGGAAGCAAATACAAGATATAAACTAAACCCCGAAAGAATTGTCTGTCCCTGTGTACAAACATAGACCCCACTGAAGATGATTTGAGAATTACATTTAAAGGTGATTACACAGTTGCATATTGAGCTAGGGTCATGGAGTCGTACACCACCTGAACAACGCTTGTGCTTGTGTGGCACTGGAATACAGACTATGACATCCTCAAACTTGAGGGACCTTCAATTTTGAGCATGACTAAAATAACCAACTTATAATAACCTCAACTAATTATTTAATGACACGACCTGGAAAAAGAAGACGTGCATACTTGACCATGTTATTCAGTAATTTTATTTATGTGATGACATGGAGGTAGAAGAAATAAAACATGCTTAAACGAAGGCAAAAAGGCAGACAGAGTTGTTTTGTATATGGAATATTTTCAGACCTAAACTGAACAAAATTATAAACACAACACTTTTGTTTTTGCCCCCATTCATCATGAGCTGACCACAAAGACCTAAGACTTTCTCTATGTACACAAAAGGCCTATTTCTCTCAAATATTGCTTACAAATCTGTCAAAATCTGTGTTAAGCTGATGATACACAGAGCAACTTTTAGAGCAATGGTGCTGGGTAATGTTGCTGTCAATGGTAATGAGTAAAGATTATTACCGTAATCCCCTTCCCCCATCACTCCGCCACCCTCCCCGCACCACCGCTATCCATTCAAAACATAGTCGGACTTGCCACTAGCAACATTGCCCAGCAACATTGCTCAAAAAGTTGCCCAGTGTATCATCAGCTTTAGTGAGCACTAGTGTGGCATATCAAGATGCAGGCCAAAAGGCCACTCGAAAAGTTTCACTGTGTTGGTGGGGTCCGGGGGTGTCCGGAAACCAGTCAGCATCTGGTGTGACCACTATTTGCCTCACGCAGTGCAACACATCTCCTTCCCATAGAGTTGATCAGGTTGTTGATTGTGGCCTGTGGAATGTTGATCCACTCCTCTTCAATGGCTGTGCAAACATTTTCAAGTGGCCTTTTATTGTGGCCAGCCTACAGCATACCTGTGCAATCCCCACGCTGTCTGATCAGCATCTTGATATGCCACACCTGTGAGGTGGATGGATTGTCTCAAAGGAGAAGAGCTCACTAACACAGATTTAGACAGATTTGTGAACAATATTTGAGAGAAATAGGTCTTTTGTGTACATAGAGAAAGTCTTTTATCTTTGAGTTCAGTTCATGATGAATGGGGGCAAAAACAAAAGTGTTGTGTTTATAATTTTGTTCAGTGTATGTTAAATAAATTTATTTTTGTATTGTGATATTTAGCAGTTTATTTACACATCTAGCAGACAAAATTATAATTCATTTGGAGCTGTGTTTCTGGAGACCTGATAAAAGTCCAATATTCACTCTCTTTAACTCTGTTTTTGTTCTCCACCAACTCCTGAGGAAAATATCTGGTCCTTTAGCTGCCAAATGGTCTACTGTGCTCACCAGCTTTGCTAACTGCGTCTGTCTGCTGTTTAGTGCTGACAGGTAGTATACAGTGGGTTTCTTTGAGTTTTTTCACAGAAAACAGCTGCTCATGTTGCAACAATGAGCTCAAAGATGCTTAAACGCTGTGTAAACTGAGGGGAACTGAGTTGGTGAAAAATCTCTGTGGGTTCATCTTTATGAGTGAAACCTTTTACAAACACATAGTCAGATAGTGTTTGGAAACTTGCAAGTGAAGTTTTTTAAGTGTAGAATCCCAAAGCATGTGTCACAATATGTACAAAACCACACAGATCTGCCAGTGTAAATGTAGTTAATGGAAAATAGATGTTGAATATATACACACACACACACACACACACACACACACACACACGTGCAGGTCATATAATTAGAATATCATCAAAAAGTTGATTTCTTTCAGTAATTCCATTCAAAAAGTGAAACTTGGATATTATATTCATTCACTACACACAGACTGACATATTTCAAATGTTTATTTCATTTAATTGTGATGATTAAAACTGACAACTAATGAAAATCCCAAATTCAGCATCTCAGAAAATTAGAATATTACTTAAGACCAATACAAAAAAAGGATTTGTAGAAATGTTGGCCATCTGAAAAGTATGAACATGAAAAGTATGAGCATGTACAGCACTCAATCCTTAGTTGGGGCTCCTTTTGCCTGAATTACTGCAGCAATGCGGCATGATATGGAATCGATCAGCCTGTGGCACTGCTCAGGTGTTATGAGAGCCCAGGTTGCTCTGATAGTGGCCTTCAGCTCTTCTGCATTGTTGGGTCTGGCGTATCGCATCTTCACAATACCCCATAGATTTTCTATAGGGTTATGGTCAGGCGAGTTTGCTGGCCAATTAAGAACAGGGACATCATGGTCCTTAAACCAGGTACTGGTAGCTTTGGCACTGTGTGCAGGTGCCAAGTCCCGTTGGAAAATGAAACCTGCATCTCCATAAAGTTGGTCAGCAGCAGGAAGCATGAAGTGCTCTAAAACTTCCTGGTAGACGGCTGCGTTGACCTTGGACCTCAGAAAACACAGTGGACCAACACCAGCAGATGACATGGCACCCAAACCATCACTGACTGTGGAAATTTTACACTGGACTTCAAGCAACGTGGATTCTGTGCCTCTCCTCTCTTCCTCCAGACTCTGGGACCTTGATTTCCAAAGGAAATGCAAAATTTACTTTCATCAGAGAACATAACTTTGGACCACTCAGCAGCAGTCCAGTCCTTTTTGTCTTTAGCCCAGGCGAGACGCTTCTGACGCTGTGTCTTGTTCAAGAGTGGCTTGACACAAGGAATGCGACAGCTGAAACCCATGTCTTGCATACGTCTGTGCGTGGTGGTTCTTGAAGCACTGACTCCAGCTGCAGTCCACTCTTTGTGAATCTCCCCCACATTTTTGAATGGGTTTTGTTTCACAATTCTCTCCAGGGTGCAGTTATCCCTATTGCTTGTACACTTTTTTCTACCACATCTTTTCCTTCCCTTTGCCTCTCTATTAATGTGCTTGGACACAGAGCTCTGTGAACAGCAAGCCTCTTTAGCAATGACCTTTTGTGTCTTGCCCTCCTTGTGCAAGGTGACAATGGTCGTCTTTTGGACAGCTGTCAAGTCAGCAGTCTTCCCCATGATTGTGTAGCCTACAGAACTAGACTGAGAGACCATTTAAAGGCCTTTGCAGGTGTTTTGAGTTAATTAGCTGATTAGAGTGTGGCACCAGGTGTTTTCAATATTGAACCTTTTCACAATATTCTAATTTTCTGAGATACTGAATTTGGGGTTTTCATTAGTTCTCAGTTATAATCATCAAAATTAAAAGGAATGAACACTTGAAATATATCAGTCTGTGTGGAATGAATGTATATATTATACAAGTTTCACTTTTTGAATGGAATTACTGAAATAAATAAACTTTTTGATGATATTCTAATTATATGACCAGCACCTGTATATGTATATATATATATATATATATATATATATTTGACCTGTTGTTTGAAGACATATTAGGTCTGTGATAATTTGCAAACATTCCTCAGTCACACTGACCACAAATGTGTAATTGTGAATTTTGTGTATTTCCAGTGCATGTCATCTTGGAGTTGGATGAGACACCGTAGAGACACATCTGTTTTTTAAATGGGCTGTACATTTTATCATAGACAGAATGAAAGATTTCATATAGAGGTTTAAAAGACACCAGCCTCTTATAAATGCTGTCTCATGGCTTCAACATGAGTGCAGACAGCTCATGTTTATTTTTGGCAGCCTGGATAATGTCCGTGGATCGCAGGCGTGGGGCTTTCAGATGACAGGGATGCCACAGATGCCAATGCCAGATTTGCTATTTATATTCAAGAAGATTATTTGAGCAGAAATACAAGGAGCAAGCAAGTGTGTGTTTGTGCTATGCCGCAGGTTTTATGAGGATTTGGCAGGACATACCAGTGGGCCCTGGTTGCTTGTGTGAGGCTTGCTGTTCTCCCAAAATCTCTCAGAGGGCAGAAGGGGTGACTTAAAGAGATGGGGTATCACCTCAGTGGGGTGTGGCAGGGGGAACGTGGTGGGACATTCCTTGTTCACATTCCACTATGCTCCCACATTGACTTTGGGGTGTCTGGGTGCCTCAGCAGCAGACCCCCCCCCCCCACACACACACACACACACTAGATTTTATGTGTCTTTAAATTTGAAATAAATGCACAAACTAATTCATAAACAGTGAAGATTAGTAACTTAAACCTGTTAAGTCAGTGCTGTGTAATATGCTTCCACATGCTACACTCGTGAGTTAGTGGGCATTTGTGAGGAGACAAATCGTATCCTCTGGGAGTAGACTAGGTCCGCCACATACAGTCCAAGGTTGACGAAGGAGAATACTGCCACCACCACCTTGCTGTCCCACGGACACTTCCCCAGAGGGCATGATGATGGTCTTGATGGAGAGCCATATTTTGTGTCAAAGCAGAACACCGGCCACACCACTGATGCACTCAGGTAGAGCAGGACTTCCAGGAGGGTGCACACCACCACGAAGCGGTCAAAGGACATGCAGCGCACAGCTTTTGTCCGTCCACCCACCGTCATTATGACCACCAGCGTGGTCAGAGTGAAGCAGAAAGCATACACGACAACACAGTAGATTGTGGCAGCATAACGGGAATACTCGCTCCCGTTAGCCAGAGCTCCAAAGATGATGAAGGCCACAAAGCCCTGAACGACTTTTAGGAGGCCAGAGGCTGTGGCCATGTAGCCCACCACGGTGCGACCTGGTCTGGCACGGCACAAGGCCACTTCAGCCCCATAGGCCAGAGCACCCAGGATGGAGCAGACGGTCACTGCGATGCGGAAAATTCGGACATCACAGCCTGCGTAGGGGCACTCAGAATGGACAAAGAAGAGCGGGTAGACCACAGAGGCTGTCACATACCTACAGGAGAAGGCAGAAAAACATGAGTGTAGATTTGATGTCATCAAACCAGGATAATAAAGTCAGTGGATAAGTCGTAACCCCTGTCTTGGTTCAAAGATGGCTACAACCACTTATCCCGTATTTGACCACTTGTTCTCATGTGATTGATGTTCCTCACGTGGGTCATGTGATGACACCTGATCCAGGTCCATTCGCTGATGAAGACCATGCGATACAGTTGAAAGGTCTGACAAAGCTAGTAAGTGGACCTTAAGTGGATATTATTTTGTACTTAAAGCTGTAGGCTAATCACTTTTTGGTGACTTGGGGGCAGGACAACAAGCTGTAAACACAACACTCGTGTGTTAGCCTATCACCTTATAAAGTTGATATAATGTCAGCTAAATGCGGTTTATTTACAAATTCAGCAGACACAGAGCAACATTATTAGTCCTTTAGAGTGGAGTGTCCACCTGATGAAAAGTTTAATATTTATATTTATATTTCTAATATTATAATATTCACTCTCCTTTTAGCTCTGTTTCGCTCTTCACCAATATCTGGCTCTTGAGTTGCTACATGTTCTGCTACGTTCACCAGCTAGTTGTTAACTTTCTCTGTCAGTTGATTGGTGCTGGTGAGATAGCCTACAGTGGGTTTATCACAGCTTTTTCGCTAAAAAACGCTGTTTGCTGCTGATTGAAGTAAAATTCTGAGAGCGGTGAGAGTGAACCAAAACAGTGAAGTTGCAGTAAAACCCTAACAACAAGCTGAAAGATGCGAAAACGCTCTGTAGCACTGATGGTAACTGCAGAATCAGGTGATAATTAAATAACTGTCAATACGAGGGACTCCTTTCAACTTACACACAATCATTTGTTCCATTGTTAATGTCAAAATATTAATTATATAGCAGCTTTAAGCATTTTCTGGGCAGAGTATTACAAAATCGCCCCCTTTTATAGCTTTTGACAGTGGTCAACCAATGTATGGTAATGTTATATATATGTTGTATATATAATGTTATATATCACAATGTATATGGTAATGTTAAAAGCCAAAAGGTAATATTGTAAAAAGTAGTTAATCAAAAGTAGCTTACTGTGGATCTTACTGAGTGTGGACAGAATTTCTATACAAGAAACGAAAGTTTTTAACAGTGTGAGGGCACTGCTTGAAACTATGTAAGATTTTTGGAAAGCTCTATAACCATACCATGGTGCTACACAGTATTCCTTTGTACTTTCCCACACAGTATTAAGAAGTAACTGACACAGATAATTAAAGGTTCATTTAGGTCTGTGTCTGATGATCTGTGTGTCGGTTAATTTTTTCAGTGTATTTGAATTGTGGATTGTTGGGACAAAGTATTGTTATGTGTGCACTTAATGTGTTTTTTTACATGATGGAAACAAAAGATGTGGAAGCACAGGTATGTGCCGAGTTTAAGCATCACCACCTCTGACCCAAGTGAGGAACAGAGTTACACCTGAACATGTAACTTACATGAGTGTTGCGAAGGCAGCACACGTGACCGTGAGGTTGTCCCAGGATATGGGCAGGCAACTGTAGAGACGAGTAGCATCCAGGAAAAACACCACAACCGACATGGCGAAGCAGAAGCACCACGCCGCCATACAGAACACCCCGTGTGAACCACTGAAGCCGGCACTGTGGGTTACCATTGCAATCACAGCACAACCCATAGCTAGCTGGCAGAGGCGGGCCGCACCCAGAGGTGAGCAGAGGGCCCTCTTGTTGAGGTATGGTCCCCCCTGTGAATCCATAACTGGGTGAGTGTAGGAGAAGACAATAAATAAACAATCTACAGTGAGACGTTCTGGATGTCCAGCAGTTGCACTGTAGATGATGATGTGGAGTTTAAAGTTGAAACAGTTCAAAGTTTTATGCTTTAGCTCAAGTCCAAGCAAGTCCCACAGAAACGAGAACTAAGGAGCAAAAGTTGTGATTGTGATCGTTACATCCAGAGATCACATCCAGCCTGGAGTCTTTCTCATTCCAGGGTTTGTCCGTCAAAGAAAAGCGAAACAGTCTTAAACAGTCTCATACATTCAAAGAAACAATACAGCTTCAATCTTGGCCCTCAGTGCTGTTGCATGAAGCAGCCTCAACAATGTGGAAACTTCCAGCGTCCTTGATGAACATGTGGCAGGATGTCCCGATGCTCAGGTGTTTTAAAATACTATTGTTACCTTATGTGAGCTCTGGGTTCTGCAGGGTCGCACTCCGCTCTTTGTGCTGCGTTTACAGACTTGGTGGGAACTTTCTACACTATTTCTGTGTTGATGAATCAGAGCATGTCACAGACAAAAAGTAGAGGAAATCTCCCTTTGAGATCTTCTGTAAGAGCTCAAGCTGGCCAAGCAGACATACACACACACACACACTCACCTTAGGTGCGGAGAGATCACACTGAATCATCATTCACAAATATCCTGACTCAATACTGTGCGCCCAGAAAACCAGGGAAGATGGGTTGAAGTTTCCACCTAACTGTAGTTACGTTTTGATAAGTAATTTTCTATCACAAGAACCTACAGATCCTGTAAGTCCAGGATGTTTAGCCAGCAGTTGTCGGTCGAGTCGAGTCTTCTGGGAAATGGCTGCTATCGGAGCCTGGTCGAGTCCAACCCTTCAGCTGAAATGGTCCGGTCCAAACTCAGAATCTCCTGGTAATTCTTCTTGGATCAGTTATCCAGATATGTTTGATTTGTATCTGTTGCTGAACACGCTCATAGCGTGAATCCACGTAGCCACATGAGTCAAAGACCCCAACCTCTCCTCAAATGTCAACACTCATCTTCTTGCTTTCTCGCTGTCACACACTCTTCCTGTCACACTTTCTCCTTCCTCACTGTCCCTTGCTGTGCCGTGAGGAGAGGGGGAGCTGCCGGTCAGTCAGACCAGAATGGAAGTTATTTAGGGTTGGGCCATCACCACATGAGTGCTGAAGGGATATGTACATGTGTTTGGGCGTGGAGTTGGGGCACGCAGACACATTACAGACCCTGCAGAATGAGGTGAGATAACTGACCCTATGATGTCAAAGACATACACAGATCAGGATCAATATGCAATAATCAGGTGACACTTACACAGCTGGGAGTGTAGATTTGGCATGGTCCGAGAGATGTTTAGGTTGGTAAATCACATTTTCCTCCCACCACACTCACACTACTTTTTATTCATGCAATTTTTTTTTCTCTTATTTACTTATTCTCTATTGGGTGCCAAACAAATCAATGATCTAAACAGACTTAAAGGTTCCATATAGCTGAAGAGAACCACAAAGATGGGTGACAAGTCTCTTTGTCACAAGTGACACTATTCACATTACACATACTCGTTTTTGGACTTTAATCCAAAACATAAAACAAACAAATGACAAAGGTATAAAGGAGAGAGGACCATAGTGTCTTGGCACAATGAACACACATACTAACAATAACAACCCTGCTGTAGCGCGTGGTGAAGGCTCTGTGACATTTCTTATTTTGTCAGTGGTAGGGAGCAAAATCATCTTTGTGGCAAATATTTAGGCATCACATTACACATCTTAGCTCATTCACCATGAAAATCATCTGCTTTAAATTCAAATGATCCATTTTCCTAACATGTTTTACATTATTGAATTTAATTTTCATCCTTCCAGTTAATCTCTGCCTTTTAGTTACCATGAAACAATAACAAAAAACATTATGTATTGTCCATGATGTGGAGTAGAATGGCAAAGAAACTGTATGGTCATTTCATGTCAAATGAGGCAGCACAGCATGGCAGAAGTAAATGTCCATGTATATGACTCTCCTCCTATCTCACACGGCCTCAGTAAGCAGTTCTCCGTCCTCAGGTCTCTGTCTCCACCTGCAGGTGTGTGACTCCACAACATCGATTCATTCATCGATTCAAGTGTACACAACACCTGCAACTAAATCCTGTCAAAAGGTCGACATGTACTGTAATGATGTGTTCCATAACTAATTAAATACATAAATAAATAAACGTGGAAATATATAACTAGACAAATAAATTATGTAAATACAAATGAAAGAAATCAATCAATTAATACAGAAAAATACAATATTCTTTATAAATGTAGCACCTTTAAATTTCGGTATTTATTTTTTGATTTAGGCCTATGTTATTTAATCATGATCACTTATTTATTCATTCATTTCCCATGCCACTTTTGGGCCTCAATAACGCATGATAATGCATGAGAGGCACAATCTGTGGATAAGAGAGCCCATTATTCTAGATGTAAGTAATGTTATCAAGTTTGAACGTCCTGCAGTTTATCATTAAAATATTCCAGACAATGTATATATTGTCACATTAGTGCAGTAACTCACATTAGATGCCTGCAGTGTTGATAGACAAAGCTCCACTCATAACAATCTGTGTGTCAATAAAGGAAGTATCATTTGTCAGCTGTGAGGGATCATAAAAAGAGAAATATCACAACCAACATGATGCATTTTCCATCCGCAGCTTTTATCAGCTGTCACCAAGTCCCACGCTGAAACTCTATTTGCAAGTCAAATTGATCACCTAAGCATTGAAACAGTTAAAACTAACATTAACACTCATTCATCAACACACATTAACCTTGTGAGCTGTCTTTATTTGTGTTTCTTTCTCACAGGCTTCTGTGCATCTGTTACTAAAATCGAGGGCTCGTGAATTATTAATTATTAATAGCCTGCACGTGAATTCCTTACACATTTGTAATCTGCTCCAGTGTTTACTATTTATGCAGGTCTCAAGTATTTTTTTAAAAGATATTATTTTTGCTTTCAGTCTTTAATTCAGATAGGACAGGTGAAGAGAGACACGAAACGAGGGAGTAAGAGAGAGAAGGGACAACATGCAGCAAAGGGCCTCAGGCTGGACCCGGCCTGCTGCGATAAGGACTCAGCCTTGAACACGAGCTAACAGCGCCCCAGGTCTCGAACACTGCTAAAGTTTGTTTTTCAATTCTAGCTCCATCTCTCTTCTCACTGATGCAGCTGTGGGCTTGAAGGACCAATTGTCACTGCTACAGCTGCCACCAGGGACCGCTATTGTAGCAAAGCAGCAGCGCTGCAGCTGAGAAGACCCTGAGGCCCCATGTGCTGACACAGCACACATCTTTTCATTAGAGCGTTAGAATGTCCAGCTTTGTCTGCATAATAACAAATGGACAACAATGAGCGAGCGGTGACTTCTCAATATTTTGAATTCCATTAAATCATGGAGAGATAGTTTTGATCTAGTACTTCTTATTGTATGTACAAGTGGTGTGATGCAGAATTTGAGAATAAAGTTTCAACTCCAAGTAAAACTTCCCTCCTTGACATACAACAAAAACAGCCTCTCTAATGTAAGTGTCTATCACTTTATTTGGCAACAAAGATTCCAGTTGGAGGTAATTTATTGGGAAGAGGGAGACAGACAGAGTGCGTGTGTGTGTGTCACAAGTGGATGGAATGCACTCCTCCCACCACGCGCACACCTACACACACACTCCTGCTCGCCTCTTTTTGAAGCTACTCGTGCAGCTAAAGGAGTCGGGGTGAAGCCTGAGGAAGGTGCTCTAGGTGCATGTGTGACGGTGACAACATGTGAAACTATGGCTGCATGTTGCATGTTTACCATTACCTGTGGACGGCCAGATAAGTCGGGGCACGTGACAGTCTGTGTGAATTTGTGTATCTTGAGGTCTGTTCAGGCTCCAGGAAGGCACCTGGAAAACGTTGAGCTGCTCTTTAACACCGCCATTCACTTACTTACAAGCTCAACAGGTACAGGGGCCTCTGATGTGGCTGTGACAGACCGATCAGCCCACTTGTCTCTCAGGTTTAACCTCAAATTCATCTCATCTTATTTTCCAATTACCTTCCCTCATTGTCCTGGACATGGAAATACAGTTTCTCTAAGTTATTTTTCCCCGATATGTAGTTATAAAGTGAAGAGGAATCAGTGATTTAGAGGGAAAAGGGTTTAAAGTTTTAACGCTGGTCAGCAAACTGTATTACAGACAAAAAACACAAAAGCCATCACCACAGAATTTACATCACTAACAACTGCACTCTGGATAATCTTTTGGGAATGAAAGGGGGGACATCTTTCAAATAAAATGTATTCCTTTGCTTTTCTTTTCATATGCTACTATTTATATTAAAAGCAATATAATAAATCTACAATTTAATCAAACATGTGATTTAAAAGTAGCAGAATCCAACCAAATAGCAGATTTTTAATTAGGGTCAAAAGCTGAAATGGTGGTGACTATTCGTGCAGACTACACGACTTTCAGCGTCGGCAGAGCTTCAGCAGGAGCTTGGATTTATTATTAAATTTAGAAAGATTTTGGTTCATCCGAATGGATGTTTTTCCGTTACAGAATAAAATAAATAGGTTTAGTTTTAGCTTTTCCGAAAGCTAGCAGTCTCAGTAGCTAGATCCCATGTGTTAGCAGCGGTAAGTGGCTGTGCACTATTGAGTGTGACTGCTGGTTTTGGAGCCCAAACTTTACACATCTGCCGTTTTACTGTAAATTATACACTTGTATCGTATAATATTTTTAATATGGTGAAACATACAAATTCCAGTTTTAACTCAACTTGTGACTGCTAAATGGAGTGAGATTGTTGCGACAGGTGGTAGTGTAACGTAAACCTAAAACAATACAAACAACAAGACACAGTTTCAGTACAACAATCTTTATTATTCACTATATGCACTACATTGTCACCAGCTGAATAAAAACAGCCTCTTCAGCACTCTCTCCTCCAACCGGAATGAAACAAGACAATCTTCTTGGCAATTAAATATTCACTTTTTACGCTCATCTCATTATTATGACCGTTTTAAAACCTAGTCAAGTGCAGGCTTCTTACACGATGGATTAGGTCCACTGCAGTCACAAAGTCGAGCCTCTATCAAAGCGCAGCAAGTTTAAGTGCTCTCATCTGTCTGCAAGCAGCTTGACAGATGTCTGTCGTGGTAAGTCCTCCCATCAACATACAGTAGCAGTCTTATTTTTTACCTGTGCAGGAAACAGGAGACAGCAATTAATAGCACTGCCTTTCAACGAACAATACAAATTAACGGTACAGTAAACATATTTGCATCGGTACCGATTTTGAAATATCAGAAAGGTTTTACTCTGATAAGAATGATTTACTTCTTCACTTCTTATGTTTTCCACTTACATTTTGGTCAGTAAAATGCATGTTTTTACACGGTGGTTTTTGTACGAATTAAAAAAAATAAAAATTATGAGCTTTATAGGTGCAAATGTTTTTTTTTAACCTTTGTTTTCCCCATTCCCATTCTTTATGCTAAGCTAACTGTTGCATGGCTACACTTTTAAATTTAGCGTAAAGACATGACAGTGGTATCCATCTTCTCATCCAACTCTCAGAAAGAAAGCGAATAAGCGATTTTCCCCAAATGTCAAGTGTGTCGGCTCTAATTTCCATTCCTACAGGACGCATCACAACAATCTGGCCGATTAAACTCCCGGACATCTTCAGTGATGGACAAGTGTGCGTGTGCAAGTGACCTCTGTGCCGCGACGTTCCACACATGGAGTCTATAACTCCCGATTCAGCCCCCCTCTCCCCTCAGTCTTTTTCTTTTAACTTTCCTCATGAAAGAGAAAGCAGCCACAACTTTCTTGAAAGACGCACATGGACGCACACGGAGACTAGCCAGAAATAAAACACGCACAAAAACACAAACAAGACAGACAGAAAAGGGAGCATTATTCTAAAAAAAAAAACAACATCAATACAGTGACCACCAGAAACACCACAATAGAACAACAGAAAAGCGCCGTGCCTGGACAGACCACAGGGGCTCGTGCTGTGTGATGTGGCCCAGCAGCAGGCTCTGTCTCCCTGGACCCCGAGTGTCTGTAGTGGTCTCCTGGGCCGGAGGGGGTGACCATCCTGAACTAATTGGTTCATCCGAACATGCATCCTTATCTTCTGAGTCATGAGGAATGCTGCTTTCAAAAGGCCATTTCCTATTGACTGTGGTTTGGGGGTTTGTGTGCATGTGTTTACTACGAGAATAATCATGTGGCTCGCAGCCTTCTGTTCTTTGTCTACAGAAAGAAAAAGGAAGTGATCTCTGTGGAGGATGTGCTGGACGGGTTCACATCTAACCTGTTTGGTGCGGTTCACATGAACTCTGGTCTGTTTTCCTGTTTGGTTCAGTTTATTTGGGCTGGTGTGAACGCTGCCGGGCCGAGATCACCTGAAAAGGTGGTTTGTTTGTGGTGTGAAAGCAGAGCAGACCGACCTCAAGATTTTGTGGCAGTGAATGTGTGATGAATGAGCTGAAGTACCGTTAAAGCAACATGTTGGTCGTCAACTGACAAGGAAGCAACTCTGAATATGAGATGTTTTTTCCCCGTGAAAATTATGCTTGAAAAAGTGGAGGTCTTGTGATATTTTTGAGTATTCACAACATCAGGTATTCTTTTTGAATTGAGAGAGTTCTGGTGTAACACCGGCTCCTACAAAGTGCTGCTTTACGGGTTGTTTGTAGCCTAAATAGTTGCTCGTCTAGCAACTTCCATTAAGTGTGTTTACAGTTCATCAACCCTGTAAGGGTTCATGAAGCCCAGTTTGACTTTGGGGAGTTTCTGATGGCTTGTGTAACATGTGTTGCTGCCATGGAGGAAATAAATTCCTGACTAATATTAAGTTCAGTAAAAGTGCAGCATGACTTTCTGTCAGTCGCCAGAATTTGATTTCACCACGCCGGTCCATGTGCTGCTGACGATGCAGGATGGCAATCAGACTGTATGACTTTCTTTACAGCGCTTGGTTTGTTTATACAAAGCCAGTGTGAACAGGAACCAGAACTAAAAGGCAACTATGTCTCATGTTTTCCCATCATCCGGAAAAAAATTAGCCAAACTGCATGTGTGAATGTGTATTGTGGTGTGTGTGCTCTACAGTTCTGTCCGGTCCTCACCTGGAAGCTTGAGCCACTTGGGCACCTTGCCCGGGTCAGATCTGGCAGGTTTAGCGGCCTGGGTGTGCGGAGATGGGTCTTGCTCACCCTGTGTGGACCCGCTGGTGACCGCACTCAGCTCTGGAGGAGGCAGTGGCTCTTCTGAGCTGGTGGGGGGTGACGGGGACCGGAGCATGCAGCTGACGTGGGATGAGGAAAAAAAAGTTGTTATCTTTAAAAATGAGTCACCGGGAGAGAAGGCAGCTTGTTGTTTTTTTTTCTAATGTATTAAAAGCAGCACTGTTTTTACATAATGAGCGGTGCCAGAAGTTTAATAATAGAGTGAGATCAAGATCTTAAACACAGGAGGAGTGATGACCTTGGTAAAGAGCAAAAGGACAACAGGTGGGGGTCACTTTTGGGAAACCGGCTCTATCTTTAGAAGGACTGGAAAACGTATGTGTGTGTGAGAATGTGTGTGCGTGTATGGAGGAAATGAGGGCGCATGGGGGCACCTGCTGTTCAGGCAGAACCTCAAAGGGATTCCTATGATGACAGCCTTGTGACAGGAAAATAGGCTGGTTGCTGCGGGGTACAAGTACATATACACACCCATATGCACGCACAGCCAGGCGCACACACACGTACGTGTACACATACCTTGCGATGGACTCATTTGCTTGAAAAGCAGAGACAGACGATTCCCGCAGTTCCCTCTTTATGTAAAAATCTGTGAAGGGAACACACACACAGTAAACTATTGTTTTGCTATATTACATTCCTTAGTAATACACCGGTATCTAATTCAAAATCAGCATATGAAAGAAAAGAACCAAAAAGATAAAAACCTGTCTTAACGTCGGAGCCGAAGTACACCAGTGCACCAGGAAACAGGTCGGCCTACAGAGAGAGAGAGAGAGAGAGAGAGAGAGAGAGAGAGAGAGAGAGAGAGAGAGAGAGAGAGAGAGAGAGAGAGAGAGAGAGAGAGAGAGAGAGAGAGAGAGAGAGAGAGAGAGAGAGAGAGAGAGAGAGAGAGAGAGAGAGAGAGAGAGAGAGAGAGAGAGAGAGATGAACAGAAGCCATCAAAAATGTTTGGCACACAAATCCATGTCTGCAAAACATGGAAAGATTTAAACAAAACTGCCTCCTGCTACACGCAAACCAAGAGCTGCCGCCACATCCAAGCCAAAATCAAGTTCAGTTCTGAAGATGATTCATTGCTCGGGGATCTGAACCAGTAACCGTGGCTCTTTGAAGCAGACCACAAAATGAGCTCCAATCAAATGGTTAGTGAAAACACTTTCACCCCTGAAGCACAACACTCCTCTCCGGTGAACGTCTTAATGGTTATAATGGACCAGTGGCAGGCAGATGTTATCAACTGTACAATTACGAGGTGGAAACGCAGACAGACAGACAGGCAGGGCACGTCTGTCTGTCTGCAAGGTCTGTGAAGCTAATAGAAAGTAGACAAATTAACCCGGTTTAAGAAAAACACAGTCCTCAAACTCATGCGCACATTATAAGAAAGGAGAGCAGAACACAGAAAATTGAAGTTGAGTTGTATTGAATGAGGAAGAGGTAAAAATCACTTTCAGCTGGGGGCTGTCCTGTGGCCCCCAAAAACACCACACAAAAACACAAAAAAACACCAAGGGGAAACAAACCTTAATTTTATTCTCAAGAAAATACCATGAGTCATGAAGAAGAATATGTCTTATGATAATGTTATAAATTGCATATTAAATATATGTAAACCAAAAATGTGACTTAATTATTCATACTAATCATAGTAGGTGGAAGTGCTTTATCAGTATTTAAGGAGGAACTGTTTTATCACATGTAAAAGTGTCTACCTGATCTTTATTACCTAATGCTTGCTTCAGAGAAACCCTAATACTACGGATGTCAACGGAAAACATGGCTTCTTGGACGACAGAGGGACGAGGGTGAAAAAATACAGGATAAAACTTCTTGTTTCATCGCCTAAATCCCTGTGTAATAAATCTTAACAGATGCACTAATCCCTGTCCTCCTGTATCTTATGTACACTTCAAATAACAGTTTAAATAAAATAAATAACCACCATCAGTACAAATGGAGCAAATGCAGCACAGTCAGCACATATCTCCTCAAATCTCGCTTCACAATCTCTGCGAACACACGACAGTTTGTACCTTCCTGTTCAGTTTGGGAAGTATGAATCTATTACAGAGATAAAGAGTCTGTGAGGAGTCAGTATGACATGTTGGCACGATATCCCCAGACTAACTGTCCTCCCCCCCCAGCCCTCACTAGCAAGATGCTAAATTGGGACACGCTGGCCTAATTGCTATTATCGCAGCCCTGCAAGCAGGACACACTGTGTTACAGTGAAACAACGGGCATTCCTGCTATCCTGCTCCCTCTGGCAGCGGCACTGGGATGAGACAGGGCAACGGGACAAGACCTGTGTGTGTTTGTGTGAGAGAGACAGTGTAAAAAACATAAGAGAGGAATGGAGCAAGGGAGAGAAAGAGGCAGAACGGATCCTGATGGAAGACAGAGGGAGAGACGGAGGAGGGAGGGGACGCCTGGTATCAAAGGGCTTCTGGGTTGGGAAACATTCCTTTCCTGACATGACACAAAGTGATTAAAGTGTGTCTTTCTGTGAATTTGAACCGAGTGTGTGTATGTGTGTGTGTGTGTGCGAGCGAGCGAACATATGCATGTGCACTCGTGTCCATGTGACATGACAAAAAAAGATTAAAGATTCCTTGTGTGTCTGTGTCAAAGATTGATTGTATAGACAGGAAAACAGAGCCAGACAGTGTGTATGTGTGTGTGTGTGTGTGTGTGTGTGTGTGTCTGTCTGTGTCATCACACCAAGGGGATAAAAGATTTTGTTTTTGTGCACTTTAACGCTTTTAAGTCCCTAATGGAGAGAGACATGGGGGTGAAGAAGGAGGGGGTGAGGCACAAGAGAGGGTGGGAGAGAGACAGTATTGGTGGTGATGGAAATGGACAAGTAAGTGGGGGTGGTGGAGTGGGGAGACGAGAGGAAAAGAGAGAGAGAGAAAGCTGGAGTTGGGGTTCAGGAGAGGGAAGTGTAGTAATAAACAGGCAGGCAGAAGGGACAAATAGATGAAAAACAAAGAGAGACGGGCAACTTGCATCAGAACATCAGATTTGATTCTGAGGGATCATGGCACCAAAAGGGCGCGCGTGCACACACACACACACACACACACACACACACACACACACACACACATTTCAAAGTGTGCTTTTGAGAATCGTTATCTTTTGTAGCAGTCCCTTTGAGGAGCCAAATCTTGTTCATCATCACAACAGGATATCACTTCAAACTACTTTCTCTTCCTCCACTTCTTCTTTTGTCTACTTTACGTTGAGTCAAAGTGTCAAAAGAGAAAACGGGAGGCGCTGATGATAAAAATGTTCTCGTTGTTCTAATGCATCTAAAAATAACACAACAAGCAGCGTCCATGAGGGCCTCTGAGGACAGACTGATTAACCGTACCAGAAGACAACTTTTTGTTTTTCATTTGTGTCTCTTCACTCTCGACTGTGCATTATTCTAATAGCTCCATACTCAAAGGCAACAAAGCATCATGGCATCCAATTGCTTTGTGTGGGTGTGTGTGTGTGTGTGTGTGTGTGTATATGCGTGCGTGTGTGTGTGTAGAGATCAAAGCGAGGCCTGTATTAACCCCATGTGCCAGTCTGGGAAAAATCAAGCCCAGCTGGGGTCAAGGACAGTGGAGAGGGGGGAACAAGTGTGAGAGTGTGTAGGAGCGAGAGAAGAGGGGGAGAACGGGAATGTGGTGGGGCTTTGAAGAGGAGAGAGGGACCAGCCAATACATTTTACAGCCAGCCTGTGTGTGTGTGTGTGTGTGTGTGTGTTACGATAATCTAAGATGGGAAGTCAGAGTTTTGGAGTTGTTCTCTGGAGTTTGACTGTGATGTGGTTTGTTTGAATCAAATCACTTTTAATTATTGAGGGATCTTACCTGAAACAGTGTAGCTGAAGGGTCGTCGAGGATGGTTTTTGGAGGGGTGATGACTGAAAGAAAGTTTTCAGCAAAAAAAAAAAAAAAGGGTAGAAATTAGAAAGAGGCCACATCATCCTTGAGCTAAAATATACAATTAAGTCCTTACTGATACTGGAAAGTTCCACAGAACAAAGTGAATTTAAAAAATAGAAATAATGAGACCTAGGTTTGCAGACATGCTCATCTAAAACTAATGCGGTTGTATAACAACATTTTGTCCACATCTACAGATACTGTTCATGTGAAAGTTGTCCTCAAATGCACGAGGCACTGGCTGTGAAATCAACCAAAAGCTGGACAATTAACAACAAAAGAGAAAATCTGACGCAGGATGTGCTGATTGAGCTTTTAAAAGGAATTTTAGAAAAATATTTTTCCACTTTAATGCAACTTATATTCATAGTTTTATAACTTATGAACTTTGTACTCACTGCGTCAATTGCTGAGATTTGGAAATGCAGCATCATCACTAAAAACAAGTCAGACGGAGCAAGAAACCTGAGCAGTCGGACCATCAGATGGGCTTTAAAGAAACCTTCAGGTTGGCCAAACTTTGATGAAAGAGAGAAGGTGGTTTAGACAATCTGGTGAAACGTTTGGCTAGTTTACAACCTGTACGATTGTTTGACCACCCCCGTTTCTTGCCCTGTTGAACTTCATTGTAGAGATGTCGCTGCGTTCCCAGATCCCAGCAGTTACTTTTGATGAGTAGAGAGCTAGCCAAACTAATCACAGATATATTGGTACTAGCATATGTTGATCGAGAAATGCCAAACTAGGCTTGAGGTCCTTCAGAAACACTGTCTCCATTACACAGTTTGTCCAGCAGGCACTGACAAGTTTATTCTTCAGCTGTAAAATGTGCCATTAAGTACCTATTTTGTATGATCACCGTTATTTAAAAGAAATGAAGGGGTGGTTGTCAGAAATGTTACTTGGATTTATCCTGAGAGATATTTTCAGGCCAAGTGCGAATCCCCAGAAACACGGTGTCATAAAAAAATCCAACCTTCATCAAGGAGCTACAGGGATTTAATGCTTAATGATGTAATTCATTAGTGGGAAAATGACACTTACACAGGTAGAAACTGAGCTGAGGATCCTCCAAGTGACTCCGCACAAAATGCCTCACAGCACCAACTGGACACAAAACAAACACAGAACACCTACATCAGTCACACCGTGGAGTATAATTCACTTTTCAGATGGAATTTCCCTCCCATTTGTTGTTCTGCTGGTTGTGGTGTTGCTGTTGGGGGCTGAGGTGGATTTAATCCCTGGAATTACAGACCGGTTTCATTCTTTCTGCCTCCCTGTCACTCTGGTGTGGCTACAGTCATAACTGTGGTAGGGAGCCGCAAGTAGCTTGAACATTGCAGCCATACCTGTGGCTAGGCCAGCTGAAATGAACACTCTCCACACACAAACACACGCACACACACCTGTCTCTAGGGGCCTGAAGAAGCCTTGTAGAACATGTCTGTCTGGAAACTGGACCCTCAGGACCACCTGGAGATACACAGTGGCAGTGGGTTATTTAAAGTCTGTATATGTCACAGAAGAACATACAAACGCGCACAATTAAAAACAGAATTATGTGGCTGTCACTTGTGCTCACTTTGGGATATCTTTCCATCTTCTCCTTCATCTGTGCTTCTCTCAGAGATTTAGTCATCAGCGGGGCCTCCTCCAAAAACTTCCTGGAGGAACGAGGGAGGAAGGGACGACACACGGTTATAACGAAACGAGCGGTGAAATAAAAAGCGGCCTGTGGAATCAACAATGGGGGAAAGATGAGCAGAAAATATTTCATCCTCTGCTCTTACTTGTGTGTGGCCGTGTATGCGTGTCAGTGGCAGAGACGAATTGCTGTGGTCGGCTTAATTCCACCCTTGGTAATTGCAGTCACTGACACGGTAGTAGCATAGCCACGAGGCAGTCAGCTAAGTCAATGTGGACGGAGATTAAAGGATGTACACGGTGAGGTCTCAACCCGACGGTGTTGGGTGGATGGCTGGAAGATAAACGTCTACACAAAATAGGCTTACTAATTGCTCCCTGCATGCCGTATTTAGAAGCCTTTGTAGTGTGCGTGGTGTCTCATAAATGAGAACAGGTTTACAAACACACACAATGTCTCAGCAGCTGTGGCCTGCTGCGGCCACATTCAGAGAGCACAGAGTAAACGCGTCCGCATCTGTTTCGAAGAAGCGCTCATAAATAAATAAAAACTTCAAACTCATAATAAATATATAAAAAAAAACCCATCTAAACGCACGCAGTGGTGGCCACCATTCTCTCTGCCTATGGCCTCTCATCACTGCTATGGTATTCTGCAATTAAGGGTTATACATCGACAAAACACCGCAGGACCAAATGCCAAAGTGACTAATTATCTGTTACAAACAGTGCAGAGATGCATCAGATCCAGACGCGTTTCTGCAGCAACAAGGTATTTATACTAACTATCGCACACAGTCCTCTGACCCAAAGTCACTCAACCGCTTCCATTCACTTCCTTCTCCCACCTCTCGCTCTTCAACTGGGCGAAGCGCTTGCGCACATCATCCACGGTCACTTCAAAGAACTCGTCAGGGAGATTCCCGTTGTCGTCAGAGTGGCGGGACACTGAGTCCAGGTGGTAGATGAGAGGCTCCCTCTCTATTGGCTGCAGAAAGAGACTGAGTGAGTGAGTGTTTTCAAACTATGAGGCTTGACACAAATATACTGTGTGAGGTGAAAGTGCATGCTGGTGTACTAAAAACAACAGCCATTGTAGTTTGGCTCATTGATTTGGCAGCTTATCAACACGGACAGCAGTTGGAAATATTCAGTGTGACTTGCACTTTCAGAGAATACCATGTCATGTGATGTCCATTGCAAATAAAAATCATAGAAAAAGACGCTCCTTATAATGCCAGAATTTGCCAGAATCATTATGTTTTTAAGTTTTTTTTTCCTGTATCAAAGTAATCCAGTGGGGATTACTTTGCAGGGATATAAACGAATATAGGCTACAAAAGCGATATGGGAACTGTAGTTCCAAAACTTAGAGTGGGGATGGAAGGGAAGGTGCAACTGTCTCCATGTAGTCTAGGTGGGGGCCCACAGTATCATCTAATCTAAAGAGTGGCTTGAGAGGGACGCTAGCCCAACAGTGAGGAAAGCTGATAAACTGAAATAAACAGGGAACAGGTTAAAAAGGTCAGAAACAAATGGGTTTACCTCTAAGAACTCGTCCCCCTGATTCATGTCCTCGTCTGGCTGGTTCGCAGTGGTCTGACGCTGTGAAAGAGACAGAAAAGGCTTAAAAGTTAAACTCAATTACTTGTGGAGAAATTGTTTTGTAGCTTTTGGTCATATCACATCAAGATCATAACATCACCTTTTAAGCAAACTTGGACAAGAAATTAAAAAGTGCTTAGAAACTGGAGCCTTTGGATCAACCATGCTGAGATTTATATTTAATCAAATATATTTAATCTCAAAATACAAATTGTGCAAGTTTATTTATCTCGGATAAGAATAACAGAAAACTTTAGGACTTTCTTCATTTGCACTTCTTGTAGAGATATCGCTTACCTTGGCGTTAGAACCGTAGCTGGATTTAGCTTTCTTGGCTTTGGGAGATTCTACTCCAGCTGTGAGAGCTGATAGAGACGAGGATGATAAGGATGAAGATAGCGAGCGTCCCTCTGCACCTCCCACTGGACCGCCAAGGCGCTGACCGCCTCCAGAGAAGGGAACGAAAGGAGCCAGGGGAGCGGAAGAGGAGGAAAAAGAAGGGAGAGAATTCAGTCCTGATGGCCCGGCTTGCTCGCCATCCTCCTCTGGCATTCCCCTCTCCACAGGAGGAAACTTTGGCTGAACTGCATCGTGGGATTTGGGAACCTCTTCCTGTTGAATAGGAAGTTTGCTTGTGGCAGAAGCAGGAGTTGGCTCAGGGTGGGCTTCCATTGGCCTATGGGGGCTTGAATTTTTAGTTGGCACTTCTGCTGTTGACGTCTCCGGGTGTGATGGAGCAGGATCAGGCTGAGATGATGGGCTGGGTGTGGTTTCCTTGGCAACAGGTGTGGCAGGTATAGCAGCTGTTTCAGTGACTTCCCTGTCATCTTCCTCTCCTTGTGCTTTGGTCTTTTTGAGTAAAAACCTTAAACAGAAATAGAAACAAGAGCTTTATCATGAAGCATAAACTCTCCAGTTTACATTGTTTTATGTACGGTACGCTGTTTGTACACATTATCACACAAGCGGCCTACCTGACAATTGCACTTCCTCCTGTAAGACCCAGAGACTTTAGAGTGGCCTTCTTCAGCGCTTCTTCCCCACTCACCTACACGCAACCAAACACACACACCTTTGTTACCATAAAACTCACTTTCATCTCTTAAAAAGAGGGAGAGTTAAGGGAACATTGCATACCTCGTCTCTCATGTAAACACACACGGGTGTGGATCCTGACTCACACTGCTCCGACACACTGGAATCAGGAGGTGACGATAAGAAAAACAGGGATTAAAATTATGGGCGACTTTTTTATTTGCTTCAACTGTGACAAAACAAAACACAGAAGTGACTTTCCCTTGTTCAGAGAAATCAGCTTTATGATTTTGCAATAAATCCTCATGCGATGCGGTGGCACGCTGTCTGCATGTGTAAACCATGTGTGCACAATCCTCTGTAGAAACTAATTGAACCATAAATGTTTTACTATTGTTCTTCTCAATGCTGAAAATCAAAGCTTCTCCCTCTGCTTCACCACATTCCCAGAGCTTTCACGCTGGTGTGGAGCTTATACTCATTTCATGGAAGTGTAACTTCACTGGAAAAGGATCAGGCTACGGAGTGATGTCATTTAATAGAGATGAGATGAGGGCTGGACGGACGCACGAGCACCTGGGACAGCACAGCTGGAACTACTGAGTAACAGCTGCGTGTATGTGTGTGTTTGAATTAGTGGCGGTGTTGTGTGGGAGAGCTTTGACCTCAGTATGGGAGTGGTGAGAAGAAGGGATGTTATCTAACACAGTGTTAGCCTGCGTTCATTCTTAAACAATGATCACCTGCATTTTCTGGCCTGGTGGAAAATAAAGGGAAACACACAAACACATCTCTATCTCTAGCACCTTACTGGGGCGGTGTCAAGATATTGTACAATACGGCAAATATATGAAAAAACATAAAATAATTAAAACAAATTTTCAAAACAATGAACTGTATTAGCAATGAACATTATTAATTTGGACAAGTGAATACATTTTGCACAGAAATTTGTAGAATGATAGCATCATATCATCACTATACACGATAAACAATAACATTAAATAGGGTTGCAAAGTGGGAGGAGATATTTAGGGCACCCTGATTCTGGAAGTAAAGGTCCCATTTGTTTTTACCATAATATCAGGTGCATCACTTCTGATTTCTGGTTCAACTTTGGATAGATTCAGAAACCATGGCGCCATACAACAACGAAGCATTCTGAATTCACTACCGGTCAAATCTGACTGGTTACTTCACCATAGCAACGGAGACCGAGGCTTATGGGTATTGTAGTATTCACAGCAGTCCGTGATGCCAAACTAATGGACAAAACGTTAAAACTAATAGCCAACATTATCTGAGAGAGTCCTGCGTTTCTACGCTGGATGTTGTTCATCTGAAAAGACGCTTCAGAGTACCAGCGGGTCCTCCCACTTTGCAACTCTCAACTCAACATATTAATACAACTTCATTCTAACCTGAACCCTAAAACCAAGTCTTAACCCTCGAACAGCCCTGCAAAGATGTGAGAACCAGAAAATGTGTCTTCACTTTTCAAATAGCACACACACAAACTTTGCACATGTGTATGTACACACACACGCACACGCACCTGATCTGGGGAAAATGTGTGAGCAGTTCCCACAGACTCTGTCCACACGAGAAGGAACCCTGGAGCCGAGAGCCGTCCTCCATCTGTAGTGCAATCCGCACCTGAGGGATATGAAACGACAGTAAACACACAACCTTAAACATATGTCCAAGACCAAAAACACCGTTTACACAGGAACCAATAACAGGTCTAAATGATCAGTCCATCCACATGTCTTGAGCTGGGTGTCTAACCTCAGTCTGCGTGTACTATTGGCGGTTGAGGGATGAATTTAAGAAATCATGGCAGTTTTTGCATTTACTATGTTAACAGCTGGTGACAAAGATGTGACAAAGGACCCTTACTGGATTTGATCCACAATGACATGGTCACCTCAGCCACCAGGATAAAAGACCTTTTTTGCTTTTTTTCTTATGAAATACAGCATAGATTTACATCTAGACCTTATTCAATTGAAACAGTTTAACAAAGGCAAATCACATGCATAAAAACTGAGAACCACTAAACAAGAATATTAAACACTTTCAAGTGTCTCACTGACCTCTTCCTTAAAATAATTTAACTATTTTAGTTGCATTTAAACACTATTAAACACAAAAGGATGCAAAACATATGTTTACCTTTCACGACCTGAAATGCAGGAAGAAAACTCTCTACACTAATATCAAAATCTCCCTAGGTGGCCATTTGTACGTTCTTGGCTCTGCAGTCTTGAGCCATTTTGGAGGAAGAAAATTCTTTGATAATCAAACTTGATTAAGCTGCACATGTGGGCCTACCTCGGTCTGGAAATGAGTAACACACAGGCATCAGTGTGATTCTCTGTTGTTCTTTCTCTCTCTGAGTCATTCTGCGAGTTGTTTATGTTTACTCAACGACCATGTTGTCCAGCACAGAAAGCACACTGCACATCGGCACACCAGGAGAGATGAAACGAGCGCCTTGGCTGTCAACGGCCAAACACGAAACACTCTCACACACCAGTTTAGCCGACTTAAATGCTGGGAGAGCCTGTGTGTGTGTGTGTGTGTGTGTGTGTGTGTGTGTGTGGTAATAGTGAGTGTATGCGAGTATATAAAATCTGTGAGGTATCCACATTCAACCATCCATCAAATGAACAAAAACAACAGATCAAACCCAGCCATGATTTTACTGCTTAGATTATGATGCCATGATGTCATAGGAAACTACAGCTCAGCTACAACAAAGTGTTTTTTTGGATACAGATCAGATCAGAGTGAACGCATGAACACAGGCAATTTATGAATTTCCAGGTACCGACAATAAAAGCCCACGTATACAGCTGACAGAAAAACCAAGATAATACCGATATGAAAATATAAGGCTACATTTGAGCTGGGATTTTTTTCCCCTAAACATAATTATGGCTGGGACAAATAATCAATATACTCGCACAATTTTATGTGATACAGTGCTGATACTCTGGCACCAGTTTCACTATACTTTGAGCTGCGTTATTGAAGTAGAGGAATTTCCTTTCCTTCCTGCAGATATTTCCTCTTTGAACTATTTTGTCTTCTGCCAGTTTAGGACTGTCTGGCTCAGATTCCCTGTACTTTGTTACACAGGCTTTTATCTCACCTGTCTGTATTTAACTGTGTACAAGTGACAGCTCTTCATCATCCAATGAAGCACAGCTGAGAACATTTTCTCGCACTCTAGGGGGAATCGCCTGTATTGAGATACCCAGCCCTAATCATCCTACTGTGATATACAGAGGAGTGACAAGTTAAAGGAAGAAACCTGAATAAATCAGTGGAGAAATTAAATGAATGCAGATGCTTCCATGCAGGCCATGAGGGGTCACTAACTGATTTAATGTGATTCATATGCTGTGGCCTTCACAGTCACTGGATCTCAACCCAACAGAACAGATTTTGGCCGACATGTTCACTCTCCACCACCATCATCAAAATCACAACACCAAATAAGTTAATATCTTTTGGAAGAGTGCCGTCCATCCCTCCAGTCACCTTACTAAGACACTTTGTCGTTCCAGAGTCCAAGCTACATCACAGTTAACTCATACAATATCTTGAACTGATTACTACCTGAATGTTACCATAATTAATATAATTCAGTTAATATATATTAATAATATTAATATAATTCACATTATCAAAATATGACTGAGAAAAGACTGAGTCTAAAATGTTGTGATATTTGATTCAGTCAGTATCATGCCTGCACACGCAGATGTCAAAAGGTATTATTACTGAGCTGAATCCAAACGTATCCAAAAGTATATGCATGTCCATGTGGATTTAGGAAATTTATTGACTAGGAATTCTCAACCAATCATTTTATATGTATAGAATATCATCAATGTTTGTTTTGAAATACAATCATATGAAATGTACTTTTTTATGTTTAAAAACAATATCAATGTCATAAGCTTACATTTTTCTGTTTTGCCAAGTCAGACCTGAGAATTAAGCTACTAAACATATTGTACTTTACACATACACTGCTATTATGGGTCTTATGTGGTCAGCCACCACAATTAACACTGCTATCCCTCTCTCTCTCCCTCCCTCACACACACACACACACACACACACACACACACACACACACACACACTTTGTTTTAACTAACCTGGCTGTCAGCTACAGCCTGTTTCCTTGCACTGGTCACCATTTCCAGTTTAGCGTTGTTGGGCAGGTTGGCAAACCTCCATGGCAGTGTGAGGTCAACAACAGTCCTCTGAAACCTGTGATCACAGAGGAGAGACGGGTGGGCATGATGGGGCAATCAAATTTTTCCAATATAATAATAAAACAAAACAATAACCATTAAATTTGACAAAATATATTTTCTCTAGAGCTGGGACAAGAAGAAAATGATATGATCCCTGAGGGTAAATTAGGTCAATGCATTAAACGTGAGTAACAGCTGCTTTTTATCTTTAGTTCAACTGAAGGCGGCTTTACAGATTAAATCCTGTGTTTTATCTCAACTCTGCAAATTAGATTTATTTTTATATTTTATATTTATTTAACATTTTCTGTTGCTTACCTAACATAGTCCAAATACAACTTAACCTAATGTTTTCCAAAATTACATTTGTTTTACCAATAGGTTAGAATATGAGTGAATGAATATAAATAACTCATATACACAATTTGGGACAGACTCCTGCGGTTTGGTTAAATATCAGCAGCCTCTTGACTACTTCTACTACACTGTACTACTACACTACTTCTGTTGAGTACACACATGTGATTTTATTACGTCTCGAGGTGTGTTTAGATGCGGTGTCGGCTCAGGGCTTAAACTGCTTAAAACCTTAGAGGCCAGCAATGAAAGGCTAAAATTAATTTAGCTTAGATGTCAGCACTGTGACAGCTGCATCAGCCAACTTATATTCACTTCAAACCGTGATCATCGGGGTTAAATCCATGCTTTTTGCAGACATCCTCCAGCACCTGAAGATGACAAACACAAGATGAATCTCACAGAGGAAGAGACGGCAACTTATTCGCAAAACCATTTAATTTTATCCACACAACAAGAAACTGATCCGTCACTGGCTAACTAGCGTTAGCCACACAAGCTAACTCAGAGAAAAACAGTTTTCTCTGGTCTGGAAACAAAGAAACACAATAAAGCAACCCCTCCATGTCAGGAAACATGAAATGCTCTTCATGCACAAATCACCTGTAATAACGGCGTGTTTGGAAAAACTTTAACTGTTTGTCTTCTCCCGTTTGGAGTGAGAACCGTCACAGCTGTACCAGCGGCCGCCATTGTGTTTCATGACGTCGCTGTGTTTATTTGAATAAACTTTATTGACTGTGTACGAACAGAGTGTAAAGGGGCAGTTCACCCAAATTACACGAGGACATTTTGTTGTTTGTGGTGGTCACAGCATTGACACTTACACTAAATAAATAAAAAGAACATCTTTGTGCCTCACTGTTTTTCTTTCTGTGTTGGAAACAATGTCGCAGTTATTTTCCACAAATGTTTTTTTATAGAAACTATGTTCTACTGAAAAAAACAATCCTCATAACAACTGACATGACCTGCAATATAGGTTATTACAAATCTTAAATCAATTCCACATAAGCCACACATGTTGATTATGCTTATTTCAAATGTATGACCATATCACTTCTTGTATCAACGTAGCTTTTAACTAATATATTACAAACACAAATACATACAGACGACTGACAAAATAAAGAACAAACTTGAATAAATATGTCAATGTAGAAAAAGAACAGGTGTAAATAATATAATTATTGATGGTTAAGTGTCATGCAGGTTTATCAGGTGGCTCTATTAGTAAGCATGCTGGCCTTCTTACTGTGACTTTTAAATTGGAATAATTGATATTAATTACACCTGTGCTTTTCCTGCTGTAACACTGTCTGCTGTGAAAGAGGTCCATGCCTCCATCCACAGGACACTTTATGGATCACTGAACAGTATGATGAGTATGAAAGGATGTGGATCATATGCTATGGTATCATACTAACAAGATCTTTACCCAGTTGAACAATGATACAAGATTTTGGAGGAAACTGTTAGACAGCATTCTCCATCATCATCATAAAAACCACCAAATTATGAAAAATCTTTTCCAAACATGTCTAACATATTTCCCTGGTATACAGGTGCACTTTATATGTAGACATACAAAAAAGGGATTGGGAAAGGCAGAGTGAGGCACCTTTATACAGGAAATGTCTTTTTTTATGTTTACTTTTTATTAGTCATCTCTGCTTGTGTAATCCTTGACTTGTAAAACTATCTATTTCTTTGTTACTTTTTTTTTTTGCTTAGCAAAAGCAATGCTGGCTATGACCATGAAAATGTTATTTTATTTAAAAAATAATTATCTTTGAGTTTGAAATGCAAAAACAAAGGGTTCCATATTCATTTAACTAATGGATGCTGACATTTTTTAAGTTACATTTGATAAATTCCTAACAAAGCACACATTTTGTATATTTGTATTATTTTTATTCTGAACTTTAGTTTGTATTCTGAACTTTAGTATAACATATTCCAAAACATAACAACAAAACACAACACAACCAATTGTATCTAGACTATGTAGCCTACCAATTTGGCTAAACAAGTTGTCCTACTTTAACTGCAGTGAGCCTCAATAGAGAAGTAGATAAATCCTGCCTATAAACTGGAAACAACACATCCAATCTGTTCCCCATATGGAAAACTTTATACATGCTGCATATGGTGTGTGTATATATATTTATATATATTTACCATGTGCGTAAAGACGACCTGAATCAAGGCCTTTTTCTCTCTCAGCAAGAATCAAATTGGATCAAAGTTAGAATCAGACTGGACAGATGACACATGGTGCCAACAGACGAAAAGGTGTGAGGTCAGAGCTTCAGAGGGCATCCAACTGTCTGACTGAAAAGAGAGAGAGAGAGAGAGAGAGAGAGAGAAGGGGTGAATACAGTTCTCAGTTCTAGGGGGAAATTGCCACCGTCTGAATAAACAAACAAACAATCAGTTTCCTTCCTCACTCAGCAGGCTAGAAACTTCAGAACTGCCTGGATGGGGTGAAAGCACGTGAAGGCATCTGTACAGAGTGTGTCTGGTTTTACACAACATTTTCACAAAAAGAACTATTTACTGACTGATTAATGAATGGAAAACAGATACACTTGTTTAAAGTAGGGTTTTCTTTCTTGTAAAATGCCAAATATCTATCAAAGTCAGAAAACTAAAATTTAACAGTATGTTGCTGAATGTCAGACTTAAATGTGGGTTGCTTAATCTGGCAAGATAGTCTTAGATATATAGAAAGCCCCTCCGTAATGCCAGAACAGCCTATTACTCAGCACGAATAGAGAGAAATAAGAACAACCCCATCAGGTTTCCTTTCAGCCCTGTAGCCAAGCTGGCAGAGAATCACAGCTCCATGGAGCCATGTATTCCTATAGCTCTCAGTGGTAATAACTTCCTGAGCTCTTTATCCTACAGACCTATATCTAACCTTCACTTTCTTTCTAAGATCCTTGAGAAAGCATTTGCCAAACAGCTGTGTGACTTTCTACAAAGCAATAGTTTATTTGAGGATGTTCAGCAAAGACATAGAGTGCATCATAGCACAGAGACAGCAGTGGTGAAAATGACTAATTACCATCAGACAAAGGACTTGTCTCTGTACTGTTTTTTTTAGATCTTAGCGCCAGTTTTCATACCATTGACCATTGTATCCTATTAGAGAGACTGGAACATTTAATTGGCATTAAAGGAATTTCTCTAAGCTGGTTTAAGTCCTATTTATCAGATCGATCTCAGTTTGTACATTTTAATGATGACTCCTCCATGCACGCCAAAGTTAGTCATGGAGTGCCACAAGGATCTGTGCTCGGACCAATCCTCTTCACTTTATAAATGCCTCCTTTAGACAATTTTATCAGGAAACACTCCATAAACTGTTATTGTTATGCAGACGATACTCAATTATTATCTATTGATCAAGCCAGGTGAAATCAATCAGTTAGCTAAACTTCAAATGTGCCTTCAGGATGTTAAAACCTGAAAGAAGCAACTTTCTGATGTTAAACTCAGTTAAAACTGAAGTCATTGTAATTGGACTCAAACACCTCTGTGACCCATTATCTAAAGATATAGTTACTCTGGATGGCATCGTCCTGGCCTCCAGCACCACTGTGAGTTATCTTTGACCAAGATATGTCCCTTAACTCCCACATAAAACAAATTTGACAGACCGCCTTTTTCATGATGCAGAAAATCCAGTCCACACATTTGTTACTTCTAGGCTCAATTATTGCAAATCCTCATTTAAAATCCTTCAGCTCACCAACCAAGGACCATCTTATCTAAGCTCTATCTAAGAACTCATAGCACCTTATTACTCAGTAGAGCACTGTGCTCCCAAAATGCAGGGTTAGGACCACTTATGGTTCCTGGAGCCAGAGCCTTCAGCTATTAAGCTCCTCTCCTTTAGAACCAGGTCCCAGTTTGGGTTCAGGAGTCAGACACAATCTACACATTTAAGAATAGACTTAAGACTTTCCTCTTTGATAAAGCTTATTAGAGCTGGCTCAGGTGAGTCCTGAACCATTCCTTAGTTACGCTCTAGCGGGAACCTCCAGGTCTGAAAAGTGCCAATGCAGAAGTGCCTTAAACCTGAAAGGGGTCAGATTGCATTGGAGTGTATGACAAAAATGACCCTATTTCTCACTTGATTTATTACCTCAATAAACACTTTCCTAATGAGTTTATGGTCTCACTAGTTTCAAGTCTCCTTCAATACAGCACGATGTTCGTTTTGTAAATTATGGTCCCATTTAGAGTAAAATAAACAATAAAGCAGGGGATGCTTTAGGGCATGGCTTAAGTATGTTGTGATTGACAAGTCACTACCACAGCGACCTGTCAATAAGGATAGAGGTGAATTTTCACAGTGTGTTTTCAGTTCATGAAGGTTAATCCAAATGTGGTCACTTGAGGTTCCAAAAAACCAAGATGGCGATGGCCGAAATGCCCAATGCCAAATGGTGAAGTTGGGAGACTTCCCATGCTGCACTGAGCTCCTCTCTCCTCCTCTTCATCTGTATGCAGTCTTATCCCATTAATGCTTGTTCCCTCTCTTGTAGTTCTGTGCTTTCTCGTCTCTCTCTTTCTGTCACTTTCTGCAGGTGTTTCTGCCTCCGGAGCTGCAGAGTCTGGAACTGTGGTGGCAGGCCGCCTGCTGCCCCCATGTTCCTGCTGGACACCCGCTGTTACAATTATTATTAGTCCAATTATCGCAGCATTACTGTGCAATCATTGTCAGTAGTTATATATACAGAAGTATATTGTATTAAGGTTTCTACCTGTTAAAATTGAGTTTTCCTTGCCACTGTTGTCAAATTAAAGTGAATAAAAATAGAGATTTCATGGTTTAAATCAGCACACATAAAGTTGAAACCATTGTTTGCATTAACAATGAATATGAGTAAGTAGTGAATGGGAGCCTCTGGATGGAGAACACTAAAGTGAGGACTATCCCTCAGAATTAAGTTTTTCTTAGAATGAAAGTGTCATGGTTTTCAGCCAACTCTGAACCACTGATGGGCTCAAAACAAGGAAAAGGATGGTGAGATAGTTAGAAAGTGTTAAACATGAACACAGGCTGTAATGAAATTTAAAAGAAAAAACTGCAAGAAAAGGCAGAATGTGCACAGAAACTCCCATTAAAGGCTGAAGAAGAAGGAACTGTTCTCCTAAAAATATTAATCATCTGAAAATGCCCTGATTCATTTGACTCATTCAAAATGATGGTATCAGTTTTTAGTAATGCATGTGTAACAGTTGGCGAATAGAGAGAGAGTCTGAATTCTGCATATGTTTTTACACACCGTCATGATTTTAAATCTTCACAGAGACCTTATCTCCTCTACCAATTTCTAAAGTACTGCAGAATTATCTTTATAAGCTTATCATCACAGGCCAAGAACAAAAAGAAAATGCGGGTTTCCTTTCAGAGCACGTTCAGCCTTATAGCAGAACATGTGAATCACTGCAAACTTGTTTCTGTTGGACCCCGGCGCGTGGTGGGAACCTCTGCAGCCTGCCCAGCTTCCCTCACACAACGCATTCAATCAAGAGGCACTTCAAAGGCCGAGTGGTCATATGATGAACAACATCAAAGGGACCGACTGAATGTGTGAGTGAAACAACTGGAGGGGCGTGCCAGGCATACGCGCGCTCTTGGCGTGAGACCTACGCCCCGCGAGGAGCAACAGCCAACGATAATAACGATTGGCTTGCTGGAGTGAGAAGCACGCGGGGCATTGGGCAGGAAAAGGGATGGGGAGGGGGGCTTCAAATAAATTTCCACTTCGTCCGCAGCTCTTGAGGACCCGAACCAAGAGCCGACAGGTCGTCAGTGAAACTGGGCTGAACAAATGAATTCAGGGACTAATGCGTAATGACGAGTTTATGACAGAAATAACGTGGGGACTGCATGTGCATTTGGGTTGAATATTCAACAAGTTCCCCATATCTGAAGGCACCATGGAGAATCATAACCTGCGTTCATCCCACACACCTTCCACCAGCTTCCAAGTGGTCTCCGTGCGTTTTCAAAGAACTTTTCACTCTTCTAACGACTCTTAGGACATGCAGTGTTTCATTCACACACACTTCAGAGACGCATTCCAGGAACAACACTTTGACATGCAGAGCCGTGGTGTGGTGAGAAGCTTGGCCGGTCTGTCCGCGGCGCGCTCCTGCTTGCTGCTGCTCTTCATCCACATGAGCGCACCGGTGGAGGCGAAGAGAGTGCAGGGCGATCGGGCGCAAACTCGACGGGCGCAGCAGCAGCAGCCTCCGGCGCACAGGGAGCGGGTGGAAGGAGCAGAGAGCTTCCCGCTAGACTTTACAGCCGTGGAGGGTAACATGGACAACTTCATGGTGCAGATAAAGAACTTGGCACAGTCATTGTACCCGTGCTCTGCGCAGAAGCTGGACCAAGACATGAAGCTGCACTTCTTGAAGAACGCCTCTGTGACTTGCAATGACGGTTCACCAGCAGGGTAAGTGAGCGGCCTGAAGTGCGTCTTGTAATTCTCACTTATAACATGTCACCTAAAAGACCTTTCGTCATTTTATATGGAGATGAGTTTTGGTTAAAGCCATGAAGGCGCAGAGATTAAGTTGCGCTCTGCTTCGCCAATCCTCCAATTAGTGTAACTCTGGCTTAGTTTAGTTGCCTGCCCTTCATCCTCTTGTCCCTCCAGATGTGACCAAACTGGATCCAAAGACCAGATCAGAGGAAGTGCGGGCTGCCGCTGAGCGCTATAAGTGGTACAGGTGTACACGTTAGACCACACTGATTCGTGCCCAAAACATCATTTGTAGGCTGCTTATTCTCAGTACTTACTGTAGGCTACAACAAATGAAAAGTAACTTCCTCCATCTTCAGAAGAAATAGCTCATGTGACTTAACTGCTGTGCCTCTTGTACATCACTGCAAGATCACAGTTTTAGTATGAATAAACAACACAGATGGAAAAACACAGTGGGACTTTTCCATATGTGACCATGCCACTGTGAGTGTGTGTGTTTCCTCTACTCTTGTGTTTTGTTTAGAACCCTGAAAGCCTCTAAACAGAAACTGCAGAGGTTCTTATCAGTGCGAAAGCCAAATCCTTAATGTCAGGATCCGGAGTTGTGTAGCCTGTGTATGCATCTATGTGTGTGTGTGCATGCTTGACACATGTGTTTTGCTGGTCTGGTGCAGGTTCTACATCAAGGAGTCTAAAGGCAGCAAGAGGTGGCTGCTGTTCTTAGAAGGTAAGGATGAACCTGAACTACTACTATTACACCAAGGTTGAACAGAACTCCATGTAATCTGTTAACAAGCGTGTGTGTGTGTGTGTGTGTGTGCGCGTGTTGTTTCAGGTGGGTGGTACTGTTTCAACAAACAGACCTGTGACAGCAGGTATGAGACAATGAGGAGACTGATGAGCTCCACCAAGTGGCCACAGACCAGAACAGGTAACAAGACACACATATTGTGTGCAGCACAATCACAATGAATGTATGTTACATCTCCTGCACACACACACGAAAGCTGGTTTGTGCAGCTTTCCCAGACTCTCCACAGCCCTGCAGAACTTTGATTTCCTTAGTAGGAAAACAAAAACGTCCCCTGAATGAAGGAGATTCATAGAAATGTTTGTGTTTCCTCTTTAGCTGAGTTTGCATTCATCCTTAAAAGTCAAACTCCCTGGTTCTTTCCCCCTCTCCAGCCGTCAGGGAAGTCCTTGTTTGTTTGTGACTCGCTCTCTCCACCACCCTCTCTGTGTACACTTCACACTGGTGGCCACAGAGCTCTTCAATGCCTGCATGTAATTGCTGCCCGAAGGAGGGAAAGTTAATGACTTCTTGACCGCAGGGAAAACACACGCACACACATCCATCAAAACACACAGCTATGCGTCAAGGTTTGTGAATTTTAACAAGTAGCCGAAAAGATTTGAACCTGCCTTACCTTTACGGAAGCTATTTGACGCTTCGATGGGGACATTTGTCCGGAAAGTGAAGTAAATGTTGCATCTCTGCTTTCTTTATTTCACAGGAACAGGAATTCTGTCTCCTCAGCCGGAGGAAAACCCTCACTGGTGGAACGCCAACATGGTGTAAGAAGATGTGTCTCTCCTTCACTTTATAGTTAATGCACTCGTGTGTTTTGTATTTTCTCTTTTTATTTTTTTTTAATTGTGTTCAATGGTTTTCAGTTTTACAGATATGTTTACTGTTCTTGTTAACTGTAACTGTGTACACATATGTCAATGATACGTGCATACTGGTGCAGTCTTAGTATATTATTTTTGAATCTTTAGACATAGTAGAGCTTTGTAAATCTACAAAAGCAAGATACTTCTTACATCTTGCATCAATTATTCAGTTCTCTGAAGGGGACTATGCTTATAGAAACAGTGCTTTTACTTTAAATTCAATGGTATTACATCTATGCATATAATTTGAAAGTTATTTGTATCATACAGGACTTTAATGGTTTATGTTTCCATTTCCACCCTGGCCTTGTTACTTTTAGTTACAATAAGTACATACAAGACATAATGAGCACTTTTGTTATGTCTGTTGTTATGGTTTTTGCCATTTATCATACTTTCAGACATAAAAAAACCTGACAACACTCTCAGTCTGGTCCTGCTCCAGCAGCTGCTTGTCATTGTTAGATAATGAAAGACACACACTCACATTGACACCCTACAACAGCTCTCTGCCTTTGAATGCACACTTTGTTTGTGTTCGGCAGCCTGCCATCATACAGCCATGTTTGTCTTAATCTGTCAGCATCAGCTCTAATAAAAGCTGCTCTGATTTCAAGTATGATTCCAGCTGCCAGTGTTGCTCTTGCTCTCTTGCAGGTTCATCCCGTACTGCTCCAGCGACGTGTGGAGCGGAGCCACACCGAAGACAGATCACAGTAAGACACAATAAATCAGTCGGGGAGCTTGTAGATCTGGCTGAGGATATATAAAGACATATTTATTGATGTACTAGCTATTTAAAGTTAGAGAAAAGGAGCAAACACATTAGAGGCTACAGATACAGAGATCCTTTGGTCTGGGAGTTCATTTGTCGTTCAGTTTTCTGTGCCTTTGCTGTGTGGAAGCCTTTTCTTTTAGCTTTCATATCAGCTACAACATTTTGAACTTCCTCCATCTGTCTGACTTATTGAAAACCCTTATATATATATAATTATATTGTGTTTATTTTAGCCACAAGCTGTGCAGAACCACCATTATTTCATCCATATAAAATGTCCTGATTTTCTCTATTGATGAAATCAAGATCAATCATTCCTTTCAAAATTGCCTAGCTTAAAGCACAAAAATAGTTGAGTATCTAGTAATTGTGAAGTTGTGTATGATTTATTGTAATCAGTCAGGTTGTTGATGTTGTTTGCATTAATAATCCAGTAAACTAAGCACAGAAAAAAACCTTAATAAGCACCTTAAAAAAATAAACCATTGTTTACCCTTCAATTTAGTCCTAGTGAGAAGTGTGTGATGTGGCTCTATGTTAATAATTTTTAAAAAACATGTCCATTCTCAGGTGATTATGCGTTCATGGGCTCTCTGATCATTAAGGAAGTGGTGAACGAGCTGCTGACAAAAGGTCTGGACAATGGCAAGGTTCTGCTTCTGGCAGGAAGCAGGTCAGTTCAGCACAGACTATATGTGTGTGTGTTATACCAAAGCCAGTCGCTCAGTTGCACCCTCTGATCCCACTCTTACTCTTACCAGTGCGGGGGGTACAGGTGTCTTACTGAACGTGGACCACGTTGCAGAGCAGCTGGAGTCACAGGGCCACCGAGGGGTGCAGGTCCGGGGTCTGGCTGACTCCGGATGGTTCCTGGACAACAAACAGTACAAATTCACAGACTGCCTGGATACCATCAGCTGTGCCCCCACTGAGGCCATAAAGAGAGGCATCAGGTAGGAATGCTGAAAGGACAGATGGGTGTCCTGATGGGTAAAGATATACAGATGTCTAAAGTGGTGATTCTTTGCTGTTGTGCAGGTACTGGGGCGGTTTGGTGCCAGAGAGCTGCAGACAGGCTCATGTGGGAGAGGAGTGGAACTGTTTCTTTGGATATAAGGTCTACCCCACGTTAAAAAGTGAGCGACAAAATATCTTAGGTAAGGATAAGGACGGAGGCTGGTGTGTATGCCGCTTGAGGTCTAAGCTGCGGTACGTGCTTTCTCCTGTCCAGGCCCGGTGTTCGTGGTGCAGTGGCTGTTTGATGAGGCCCAGCTGATGGTCGACAACGTCCACCTGACCGGACAGCCCGTCCACGAGGGCCAATGGAGGTACATACAGAAACTGGGACAGGAGCTGAGCAGCACGCTACGTGACGTACCGTAAGGCTGACTGAACACACACTCAAGATACTGTAAACTTAAATGGACTGTTTTGTTGACTGTGTGATTCCTTGTTTTGAATGGCAGGGCGATGTTTGCTCCGGCCTGTCTGTCGCACGAACTCATTACTAGAACGTAAGTAAATAAAACCATGGATCTTTAAGGCTCTCTCCATTAACAGTTCATTCAAACAGTCCACTGTTGACTCAACATGTCAGATGTCTGTCAGTACATACAGTCTTATTTAGCCCCCTCGTAATAGACGTCATTAGCTGTCTACTATCAGTTAGATGCTTCAACCTTTGCTCTACATCATCTTCACATTAACTTTAACTATTCATGCAAAATATTAAAAAATCTGTAAGTAGTGCATATGTTGATGGACAATTTGGTTTCTATATAAAAATGCAGTCTTTGTTATTGTTTTAAATATGTGAGGTCCACAGATTTCACACATAGTTTTTGGTACTATGTGGTACCTATACGTTTTGGACACTGTATAGGACACGTGTGTCACACACACAGTAAATGATCATGTGGTACTCCACTAGCATACTGTATATAAACCATAAATAAAACATAAAGTTGGGGTGGGCTTGAATATTGCATCACGGTATTAAAATGAGAGATGGAAAAGTCTGATTTTGGCAGAATTATATACACAACAAATCAAGGTACTTAAAAATACCGCTGAAAACATCCTGTAAATTATTACTATGAATACATTTAAAAAGATGAAATAAATTGGCTAGTCCGATATTAGCTTATCACAGACATGTCTGAATATGTTGGCAGATAAATAACAAGAAATTGCCAAAACCGTGTTGCTGTCCACCAGAGAGCACTGATGAGTTCCCCCCCCCCAAATGTAACCGTCCCACTTAAAACATACATTGGTAACGATTCTTTAAAACTAATTTAAGGGATGCATTTCAAAAATAAAAATCAATATTAGCCAATTCATGAGATTTTGGTAACTCGGATATAATCAGTACCTCAACAACTATCGTTCAGTCTCCACATACAACCCAGAGAAATTAAGGGGACGGATACCATGGTAACATCATCTCACACTGTATATCATCATATCACCCTATACAGTAGTATTACATTTTAATTTAATCATCGTGACAGTGCCTTAATCATGTAAAACACTACATAAAGATTGCAAATATACACATTTTACATTGAAATAACATAAATCATTCTTATAGATTTTTAGGGAGTACAGGTGTTATTTTCTTATCCCGTGTTCCTTCTTCGCCGCGTGTGACCCTCCATCACTCAGTGTCTTCCTGTCTCTGCAGCTACTGGATGGACATTCACGTGAAAGGCACCTCCTTGCCCAGAGCCCTCCACTGCTGGGACCGCAGTCTCCAAGATAACAACCACATCAACAGCAGCAACCACAACCACCAAAAGCACAAGACCCTGCCCACGAGGGGCTGCCCTCTACATTTGATTGACAGCTGCCCGTGGCCTCACTGCAATCCGTCCTGTCCGACTATTCGTGACCAGCTGACGGGACAGGAGATGAGCGTGATCCAGTTCCTGAAGCACATGGGCTTTGACGTGCAGAAGATGGCCCAGCAGCAGGGGATGGACCCCAGGACACTACTGGGCATGCTCAGTAACGGGAACTGAGTTGCAGCAAAGTTAGTGTAGTGTCAGCGACCCACACGGCAGAGATAGGAAAGTGCTGGACATAAATGGAAGACGACGGGAACAAAACTTGAACGATAAAACTGTCAATGCTTCCAAAGATCGTCCTCCATCAACAAACAAGACTCAGTTTCTGAAAAACTGAACGACACAAAAACTCACAACGAAGTGCCTGATGAGAATGGAAGACAAATACAGTCAAACCTGAGCTGTTTAAACATGTAAACATAGAGGATCACATGCTCCTTGTTTTAATATATAGACATACTCATAACATTATTGTGAGGTGGGTACAGTGACCACAGTGTGTATATAAAGTATATAGAATATATACAGGAAATATGTACTGTACATTATGTATGTGCAGTTGAGACGGTGGTAGTCTAAAATAGTCAGTGGAAACACAGATGGTTTTGTGGGGATAGGGCGCTCCCTTCTGTCGACTCAAGGTATCAAATTCAGAAATCCATGTATGGTGCTGCTGTTCCTACCCTCCGTCAAATATGCTGCTTTTTCTCATTTTGGAAAAATAATTTAATGGGTAATATTTACTAATAAAAAGGTACAAATATTAAGATTATTACTTTGTTCTTCAGGCTACTTATAAGTGCTTGTATATTTATTTTTCTACTGAAAATATATTTTATATAAGTCTTATAGTCAGACACAGTTAGCTACTGTAACAGTGTCTCCACAACCTTTTACTTTTTTACTTGCATGTTTGTGGTAAGAAATCCTGTATGCTAATTGGACAACTGAAGTCGATATAGTTTTTAAGGCTTTTGAGTTTCTGACAAATATTTTCTTGTGCTGTAGTAGTGCCAGCATCTAATGTAAACGCTAATAAATACAAATACAAGCCGATATGATAAAAACATAATTTAATAATTACAAGTATGGCAATAAAGTGGTTGTTATCACCCTAAAAAAAAAATCTCAGAAAACAAAATGGAGGAACAAAAAGCCATTTCCAGTATTATCACACCACATAATCTCACCCACAACATACATACTGATGATAAATGTAAAAGCATTAAAAACTACATTGTAGACAACATTTTTTGCACAAGACATAAGAATAAAAACTTTCTTTCTTCACAGTTGATATGAAAAGTGCTTCTATGAGAGATGACTGAAAAACTGAAAACATCAGCTTTAACAAGTTTCAGGTTATTCTGTCTGTAACTTTGAACTTCCTAAAGTTTGAGTTTGGGTATTTCATCTATAAACATAATGTATAAAGCAGACAGCTTTGTTTGGCCTGATATTTCCACACCGTTTGTTTCCTCTCTCTACAAACTCCAGCTATTAAAATCCTAGCCACATTTTAAATGTACCTAATGCATAAATCATCTGAACCTGGTCGTATACACAGCTGTGTCCTTTGCCCTTTTTTCCCCGTCAAATCCTTGTTGGTTAAAGATGTCTGCAGACCTCAGCGCTCAGTGAGGAGGCCTGTCTGCTGGAGACAAAGAGGTTGGGAACTCAACAGTTTGAGTCCTAAAGGAAAAAAACAAGAAGTATGAGGAGGCCGGGGTATAGAGATTGTTTCAGCTGCAGACAAAGACTGTTGTGAAGCACCAGAGCAGCAAAGACTGACCTGGCTTGTGAGTCTTCGAGCGGGGGTTCGTTTTTGCTCATGGATTGACTGGAGGCGAGTGATCAGAAACTTCTTATCCTCTCCCTCCTGAGCAGAGAGAAGAAAGAGGTTTTATATTTATTTTTATAATTACATAGACTGGGAAACAGTGCTGTTTATAGGCAGGTGATTTCTTACATTTTCAATCTGCTCCTGTAGTAAGCCAATGATCTTCCTTTGACCGTCCACCACCTGACTGTGGAAGTAGATGACTATCCTGATGGGAAGAAAAGACGCAAGATCAATCCAAGTAGCCCTGATCTCAATAATAAAGCAGTATGATGGTGTACTGCCACTTGCTTTGTGACAGATACAGCACATACCGACATCCTGCAACAGCTGTGTGTGTGTGTGTGTGTGTGTATGTGTGGACTCACAGAAAGATACCTGCTCCTACGAACAGGAAGAAAGGGTTTTCCACCAGGTAGGAGTGAGCCCTGGCCAGCAGGGACAGGTTGGGATTGTCTTTTTCCAGTTGTTCCACCCAGCGCTTCCCCGCCTGGATCATTGTTTTGAGCCCACGGAACGGGCCGCACGACGAGGAGGGTGTGATACTGAGGACAGAAGACAGATGTTGAGACTGGCAGCACAGAGTCGCACAGGAATCTTCATTTATTTGACCTTTCTCTGAGGTGGACAGTGACTGGAGTGTCCAATAAAACCTAACAGGACAGCTTAGACAGTTCTCATTAACAGATTAACCCCTTGAACTTAATCAGTGTGCGAAGTATATTAAACTGCAGGTATCCAGAGCAACAGTACCTTTGCTTGACAGTACATTACCAGTTAACTTTCACTTGTCAAACAGATGGGTTAAAATGGCTACAAACATTCTTTAATATGATTTCAGCACATCTTTTTCTGTGTTAAGTGGCCATGGTATAGGTGTGGTTATGCAATCTGAAGTATAAAATTATGCCTCATCCATTATCTTAACATAGCAGGAAACATCCTTGTGTATTATTAAAGTCTGCAACATAATCCTTGCACGCTATTTCGCGCCAATCAAAATACGACCACTGAAGTGCTTGTTTTTGCCACCAACATGCTCAGATTGTGTCTGCCAACACTACTGAAAGGACCCCTACAGAGATAGACCTTTATTTTAAAGAGTAAGATCTTTGGTGTTTGAAAGCATTACGAACACCAAAGTCACACAATTACACTAACAAAATTAACCGGTTGAGGCAGACCAGAGAGGTCAAATTACTATTTTTGTCAAGGGAGTTTGGTGGCTTTGACAAGAGCAATATAGTGACGCTTGCTGGTTAAACAAAAAGGATCTCTTTAAAAAAAGATCTCTCTCTGTAGTGATGCATAATGTTACCAAACAGTTAGGACTGGGTAACAGCACGACTCTAATGAAAATAAAATCTCCACAACACCAGAGCGTTTGGGTGTGTGCGTACCTCCACATGGTGTATGTGACACAAACAGAGGCACCGAGGAAGGAGGGGAAGCAGAGGAGAGTGATGAAGATGGTCGTCATCTGGCTGACTCTGTATGGCCTCCTGGGGGCCTGACAGTTCATCATCACGCTGCTCTGTGGGAAGAAAAAAAAACACGGGCCGGGGTCAAAGGTCAGAAGCTCCAGAACAAGACGTCTGACAAAGCTGGGGCTCTGCAGAGTCAAACTACTGTTCCCAAACTCACAGATGGAGAAATGGAAAAATAAAAGAGATTTAAAAATTGTTTCATAAAAAAGATACAATACTATTTAAACACATATTTTATGGTTCAGGAACTTGATGGTTACAATAGTGATACAATTTACAGACAGACAAACAGATAAAGGTTCAAAAGGTGACTAAATCTAAAGCTGCTACTACTACTAGGCCACTACTGAGGAAAATTACAACTATAACATCCATCCATCGTCAACTGCTTAACCTGCGTACAGGGTCGCAGGGGGCTGGAACCAATCCCAGCTGACATCGGGCGAAAGGCGGGGTACACCCTGGACAGGTCGCCAATCCATCGCAGGGCCACACATAGACAAACAACCAGTCACACTCACACCTAAGGACAATTTGGAGCCACCAATTAACCTAGTCTGCATGTCTTTGGACGGTGGGAGGAAGCCGGAGCACCCGGAGAGAACCGACACAGACACGGGGAGAACATTTATTAATAGTTATAAAATGAGCGGTCCGAACATATTGTTTTCTTTTGGAAATCACTGTTTAAGCTTTTATTTTAAGAATTCCAATAAAGAAACGTTTGCAGTGAAGTACCTTCTTAATGTAGAAGAGCAGGAAGAGTTTGAGAATCTGCACTGCAGGCAGAAGAGGAGTGAAGAGCACACCCAACCTGAAAAACACAAAGTTCATTGTCATAACCCTGAAACAATTTCACTTTCCCCAACACGACTGTATGTGCATCTTAACAGCAAGCTTTGTACCAGGCCAGCGTCTGCCCATATATGAGTTCAAGGACGTTCCTGGCGATATCAAAGACAGGTTTCCTCCTCCTCTTCAGAACTTTCTCAGAAAACAACCTGCAGGCAACAGGAGGAGAAATGAGATGGTTTAAGACAATATAGTAAAATAACAGGAATAAATAAATATAATAAATGATTGATTGAAATGGAAAAAGAAACATTAAGTGAGATAATAGGCTCAAGTGTTTTAAGTAAGAATTTTCCTATAACCTTTAACGACAACAGAGAAAGAAATGCAGAGAGCTTTTTTTACTAACCTCCAAAGAAGCTCTCCAAACAAGGTGTCCAGCAGAGTGAAGATGAAGTCCATGAGTAGGAAACGATAAAGCTCCTGGCCAACAAAACTCTCCCAGCACTGGAGACAAAACAGAGAACCATTAAACGGAGAAAATTGAATGATCAAGACTTTTAATATTCTGCACTGCAGCTATGAGGAAAAAGGTCTGGTAGTATGAAAGTGAAAATGATGTCTCATCACCGTCAGTTTAATAATTTTAGGGTCAGCAGCCACCCGGCCCAGCCAGTGGTAGCACAGGACTCCAAGCACGCTTACTTTCAACATCAGGTTTCTAGAACAGCAAAGACAGCAAACAAAATGTTAGTCAGTTCTGCACTTTCAGCAAACTGGCTACATTCACTTCCTCTTCTCGTACCTGCCAATGGCGACATATGTGCGTACAGAAGGTGACTCATAGTCCTCCATCCAGGCTGCGAGGTTGAACAGGCCAGGCAGCAGCAGGTTGATGAGGGACACCAACACGGGGACAGCCAGAAGGCTGGCCTCATGCAAGGGGTCACTGACAGTAGAATTATAACTTTGCTGCAGGTTCTGTTGGGGAGAGAGCCAAAGCAGATAAGTTGAACAAATCTCAGCTCGCAATTAGATGATGTCCTGAAAACATACTGTTGGCTGCTCTGTCATCTTCCAGCTGTTGGAAATGACTTCTTAAACTGTCACAGATTTTTGTTATTGTACTCCTTTTAACAGCTGGCAGACATTTTAAGTCCTACATATAAAGAGACCTGACAGAAAGTAAAGCCAGCAGGGGAAAACTGTAAACATAAAGACCAAGACAATTTTTATCTTTAGTAAATGTTGACTTTGGACCCTGAAACCGCGCTGCCTCACCTGGTGCATGTAATCAGAGAAGTAGTAAATACCAAGCACACAGGCAGTGGTGCTGGCTATGCAGATAGTCCATGCCAGGAGATGAACCATCAGTGTCCACAGCTGCTGGCACACAGAGTTCTTGACATCCATTTGTTTCACATCCGCTAGCAGCTCCTGGGGGGAGGGGGGGGGGGGGGTATTGTGAGGTAACAGGAGGAAAACAATGTGTTACATCATCACATTCCTGTCTGCCAACTATGTGACAGAGAAGAAGACAGGGAGAGGGAGGATGAGTTTTTGTAAATTAAAGTGTGTGTGTGTGTGTGTGTGTGTGTGTGTGTGTGTGTGTGTTTGTGTTTACATGTACCTTGAGCTGGGTGGAGATATTCTCAGACATGAGTTTAACAGAGGATTTCTTAATGACCTTGAAATCCCAGGAGCAGAAGACCTTCATGGCCAAAATACTGTGAGATTTGTCGATTCGGAAGCTCTGACCGAACGACTTTGACATGCTGTTGGGAAATTTGCTTCATCAGATATTATCACACTTAAACCCAGTTATACTGGTATAATGTTTTCTTAGACGTGAATTTGTATTTTCTCTTTTACAAAAGCACTATGTAGCCTACCTGTACACAAGGATGATGCATGTGATGAAGAAAGCGCTTCCTATGGTGAAGAAGTATGCAAGCGGCATGTTGTAAGAGTGGCGCTTCGATAAACAGTCCAGCCTGGTTTCATTGGACACAGAGACATTCTGCAGTCCAAAATTATCCTTGCAGCTCTTATGCAATGTGTAGTTACTGTAGTACCCATAAAACATCACTGTGTCTGAGAAGTATCCCTAAGACAGTAGGAGAAAAGAGAGAGACTGTCATTTCTGCAAAAACTTAACATTTGCTTCACAGGTTTGGGTCAAAAACTATAAACTAAGTGTAATTATTTACCTTGCTGGCACATTTTAAGACTTAAAGATCTCCCCGACATGTTTAAAGACATAAAGATACTCTGCTTTGAATAATTTATTATTATTATATTATTATTATTAATTAAAATTAAAATACATCTAATCCTTCTACCTCACTGACAAATCCAGAATCTGTGAATATGCAAATAGTTTTAGTATCAAAGGTTAACCTGCTGGACACAAGATGTCTCCCACTTCACTGAAATATCCATTCTCAGTGAGTGTGCACGGGAGGCTTCAAGTTTCCACATGACGCATTATTTAACCATCGCGTATCACAAAATCCTGCTCATATGTACAAAACTCAAAAAGATGAAAGTGAAAACAGCTTTCTAGTTTCAAAACATTCTTAACAGTGAAGCTCAAATATCCAATGATACAGTTTTGTTTCTTTTTGCCGCTATTTAAAGATGGCTTTGCTGTTGGACACTCATCATACACGTTTAAAGTTTTGATCCCACATCACCAGGCCTGATAGTGTGTGAAAGGGCTTGCAATAACAAGTCACTACATGACACAACTTACCGTCCCAGAAAGGAGCTCCAGTCCAGAGAAGGGGCGTCTCCCCTCAGGCAGCACTGGAGGATGCACTGCCTGAGGCAGCACCAAGAACGCACCAGTCACCAGGAACAGGAAGAAGTTGAAGAAGAGCAGGGTCTTGAGGAACAGGAAGTATGAGAGGACCCCGGTGCCGAAACGCCCACTCACTCTCTTGAGCGCCACTTGCCACAGCTGGAGAGAGTGCAGGAAGGACAGCCAGCTGTACCAACTCTGTCGTGCAGCCTGGGAGGAGAAAATGTGGGAATATAGAGAGAAATGGATCGCTGATCACTTATTTTCATATTGCACTATATATCATTATTAAAAAAGAAACACTGACACAGAAATGTATCCATGTTCTGCTAAAAATGACTCACAATGCAGCAGTACTATTTCAGGCAAAGTTTACACAAGTGCTCGTCGTTTAGCTTTTGTGAGTCTGAAATCTGTGACTCAAATACTTGAGCAACAGGGTGATTACACTGCCTTGATAACGCTTACAGGAAATACCCACTCTACACTAAACTGCCTTAGAGAAGAATGTGTTGTGCTGTGCGTTTCTCTGTGCCATTTATCATTTGAGATCACTTTGAGATCGTTTACAGCACACCTTAAGTATACATTTAATCAACGTCTTAAAAAAGAAACAATCATGAGGCCATGTCTAGACGTGATGATTGCATCTAAAATGGGCAACACAAACAGTGTGACAACATTGCCGCTGTGTACAAAAGGCTGAGCATCTTTGTTACTATAATTGTAACAATTTCATGACTTGCAGTTGTGTGCAAAAAGGGACTGCAACTCAATACCAGGACAATCTGCTAAATATTTAGTACTGTAGGACTTTTAGTGTACTTTCAATCCTTTCAATTAAACTTTCGATCTCACCGAGAAGTCTTTACAGTGCTCAGAAAATTGAAACATTTATAATTCAATGACAACTTTGTGAACTCCATCTGCTGATGAACATCGTACAATCGAACAGCTACTAATGGACCCTGTGGTGAGGTTGTGTTATATTGTCTGCCTGGTTTATAAAAGGGGCAACTACAAATTCAAACATTATCTAGACACCCTGTCAGAGGTAAAAGGAGATGCAAGGGATAAAAATAAATATAAGAAGTATAAACACAGAATGAGGTTTCTGGTGGTGACTTACAATGATGATGTAATATTTGAGCTGACTGCAACAGGGGATCTTATTGCCAGAAAGTGACCGTCTCTCCTTCTGTAATGCTAACCTCCTGTGGACGGAGAGACAAAGAAAGAAAATTCAGGCCGATGCATAAAAAACACAACAAATCTAGATAGGAAAAATGAGAAGGACCACATCTACCTGAGTTCACTCTTCTCAGCCACGCTGAGTGGCATCGCTCTGAGCATCCGGATTCTGTCGCCTACTGACAGGTTCTGCAGGTTGTTCACCAAACGTTCCCTCTTACTCACTGTAACACACAGCCGATCTTACATTATAAACTCGTAAAACAGATTAATTTCAGTTAGTTTATTATCAGTGAACGGCATCCTCCCCACCCTCTGAGTCAGCACTGTCTGTCTCCACGCCGTAGCCTCGTATGCTCGGTCTGGAGGAGCGAGAGAAGTCTCGGATGGAAGGTCTGCTCTGCCTCCGTCTCCGAAGCTGCATGGTCCTGTTGTAGTACTGAGAGATGATGGCTCCTCTGCTGCGACCTGACAAAGAATTAGGATCAGACTGTTCAGGGACAGGATCAGCAGCATTTACTGCCTCGTAGGTGCATCACTGAATTCTCCAACTTCTTGTTGCACCCAAAGACAATGGCTTCAGGATTTGTCTATTTTTTCAATATAGTTTTACATAAAATAAACAATCTCGTGAAAAAAAACCCACATCTGTATCAGCACTAAAATAGAAATGAGGAAGAGAGAGAGATGGAACAAAAGGTCCCCGGGCCGGACTTACACCAGGGACATTGCAGTTCATGGTCAGTGACTTAACCCCACAGATCTAATTGACTGTTCTTTGGCACAAGCTTGTCAGTCCACCAAATTTCAAATAGGTTCATGAGTGTTTAAATGACCCTCTAAAAACAAGAAAACAACAGGAATATTGTCATCTACTGTACAATATGAAAGAGCCAATGGAAGATGTAAAACAGCAAACCATACCATGTAGATTTTTTAATCACGGCTGTTAGCAGAGGGGAAGTGCTGAATGATAAACAGTTATCTCACACTTACGTTTCCCATGTTGAAAGTCAAACCAGCAGATATATCATGTGGCATGGCAAAGGAAATCAACAACTATCGAGCCATTTACACCAACAAGCTGAAGCACCTGACCTGCTGCAGACGCTGACAGGAAGATTACAAGCAAACTGCTTCCCCATGAAACTCTGCTCAACTGAAACACTCAACATCTGCAGGATGGCACCAGTTCAGGCACGTTAAGTGTTCCACTAACCAACCAACACCAAACACAGTAGCTCACTTTGTTGGCTATGTTTGGTACTTATCATGAGAAACTATCAAAGCACAGAGTTTCCTATGTGGTCAAAATATATGTCCCCGAAATACAATTTTTCAGGAACTATGATAAACAGCCTTGTTCTTAGCAAATACACATTTTTCACTGGGCTTTGAATGGGTTTTAACAAACCAACGGTTGTAAAGGTTTTCTCAACCCTCAGAGGAACTTAAGATCTTTAAGTGATGTTAAAATATTACAACAGAAAAAGAACAACTATGCTGTAGCGTAGTAGCAGCTGCCCACAGCAGCAGTCTACACTGCCACCATAAACGGCCACAAAATCTAATGCTATACTAGTCTATAACTATCTTTTTGAATGTATTGTCGTCTCTACATTAGTATTTTAACTGGCCTTCAGCAGGACTCACCAATGGTGCGACTGGGCATGGAGGACAGGACCTTTAAGGTGGCCGAGGACCAACGTTCACCTAAGAAGGCGTCTGTCTGTCTTTCATCATCCTCCCATTCCACCTCGCTTTGCCCCTGCCTATTTCCTTTAAACCCATGTCCTGGGCTGGACAGGTTGGGCACATTGTCTGTGGGAAGAAAAAAAACACATTAAAAATGTTGTTACTGCTGGACATTTTTAACTCTATATAATATGAGGATTTTGTGGACAGACAAGACATTTTTTATTTGAATTGTTAGACTTGTTCCCTGTACATTTCACTCAGCTAGAAGATGAGTTAAAAAGGTGTAGCACTTAATAATTTTGTAGCTTTTAAGACTAGAAAATTACATTTAAACCACATCACAATATTACTATAACCAAAATCCCAGATATCTAGTCTGGGATATCAATACGCTTTAGTACAAAAGGCCTCGTCATGCAGACCGGCGTCTGTGTCAAACATAGTTACCTCCAACCTCCTCGTCCAGTGCTCTCTGCAGCTCCTGCAGCTCAAAGGCGTCAGACAATTCTTCATTCTGACTCTGCTCTGCTATCAGCTGGCTGAACGAGTTGTGAACACCTTCCTCATCTAACGGGCTCCTGGCAGAGGGACACATGACGATGAGAACAGATGCAAAGACAGAAAAGAGAGCAATACAGGCTCAAAAATACAAGTTAGAAGACACACGCCCATACAGACCACTGACAACACTACAGACAAAGCATAATGAACTTCTGACTCAGTCACCAGTACTCTCATGGGGAGAAACTGCAACCAAACAACCCATTCACTTGTGAGCTTATAGCCCAGATTGCCTTCTTTGTGATCCTCTTCCTGCGCTGACCAGATGTACCGTAAGTCAAAGCCAACTGGACTGACTGTTTTTGTCTTAAAGCAAGAGGAAGAAAATACAGCAAGTCCAGTTCCCGTTGACATAGTACTTTTACACAGATAGCACAGGAGGAGAGCTACACAGAAGCCAATCAGGCCTGTGCTGTTCTCAAATGGAAACATTTCCTTCACAGAGATAAAATTGCATACAAACACACACTCGTAATCAAACATGCTTTCAACCAAACAAATTAATCTTTTTTTATGAGGACAATGAAGTAGAGGTTAGTAGTTGGTCACATGGTTTAAAAAAATCATAAATGAAAGCCCTGGGACACTGTGCATTATGATCTGTCTTGCCATTAAGTCTTTAACAAGTCATCAAAGAGCACAGCTAATCCTGGCGACTCAGTTCCTTGTTTTCCTGCCACCCTCCCTCACATACTTTACTGTTAAGCAGCAATAGGTATGCTGACGGCTTACCAAACAAAAGATCTATGAAAGATCAGGAGGAACCCGAAGAGATAAAGAGGAGTACTCAAACACTTACTCTAGTCCAGCTTCGACGAGAGGGTGCATCAGGTCAAAGTTAACATTATGAGCCATTCTTCTTCTCTTCTGACAGTCTCGATCTGTCCGGCTGTCGCCCTCTTCGTCGACCAATCGCAGAGGGTTCACACCCTCACCTGCTCAGACCTGCACTCCACTCCCACCATGGCGTTTATTCCTCCACCTGAGAGAGGAGGGGGAGGGGAGGGGAGGGAGTTTGAGGTGAGGGAGAAATGCCAGCAGACTTCCTTGGAATTTGAACTCTTGTCATGTTACTGCTTGTCCTGCGCACACGTTTAACTACATAGTGTAGTTAACTGACTGTGGCATCTCCAGCCTCAGGTACCTTTTACACTTACTGCATGAATATGTGATCTGTATCTGGATAAGACTAAAAGTGTAAATAGGGATCTCACGTTACATAAGGCCACATGAAGAAACAACCTCATGGTGTCAACATTCACTGCCCATTACTATCAGTGAGGCGACAAAGACTCTCCTGAAGTCGAAGGATTGCGTCATTTTGTCCAGACTCATGACAGCCCCATTGTGCCACTGCTTGTGATGAGGGCAGTGGTCAGGGTCAGATGGTGCAGTGTCACCAGTGAAATGAATATTCAGGGCCGGAGACAGAGTGATGCATTGTCAGTCTGACATATGGGAAGTTTGGAGGAAACATGCAGGTTCCTGTGTGTTTGGTGCACTTTAGAAAAGGCCCTCATTCCAGTCTAAAAATCTGTCCTCGTATATGTGCAAAGTTATAAACTTTCATCAAAGACCCAGAGAGAAAACGTCCTGTTGTTTTATATGTGTAAGAGCCGATGAGCGCTCTCAGCATAAACAGGAAACAATCTTTGGTTCCTCAGATGCTACCTGGAAGCACAAACAGTTTTTGACCACGCACACCCGCACACCATACCAGTACAAAGCCACACTGCCCCACATATACAATGAAGACTGTCTGGAGAAAAAATTTAAATGGATGGAAATAAATAGAAACCAATAGTTTTAAAGGCAATTATGACTTTCATAGATCAAACAAGGTAAAAGTGTGTAAATTACTTCACCCCGGGACAGCACCTCAGGGGCTTAAAGCTTGGGCTTAGCCTATACAATAGGATTTACAGAATTCATAAAATAAAACATTATTGAATCCTGATATAATATTCATTAGCAATTAATTTACTTTAGCAGATTTATCCAGGCCCAACTTGATAAAGCAGAGCAGAGATTGTGGACTGCTCTTTGGAAGACACAGTTGGCCGTAAGAAAACAAACAAACAGCTGATCTGAAAATAGATCCATTAGAACCAGGAGGCGTGGCACAGTTGAGAGGATATGATATAACATTAAATGGATGGATTACTTTTTTAAACTTTCCTTTTAGCGTGAGCAATTGATTGAGACAACAAATTTCTCAACCTTTCTACTCAACATTTTGCCATACCATGTACCAAGGAGGCTTTTCATACAAAGTCCTTCTCACTGATTTGCATAATTGTCCACAATGACAGCATAAACCCAAAGATATTAAAGAGCCACATTTCTGATGGTTCATTCATCGTGATATTCATCACCGTGATTTCATATTTTATCCATATTAGACTCATATCAAACTCACTCATAGAAAATATATTTGTGCATAAACTATTTAAGTATCTATATTTACCAATAAATGTTCAAAATCATAATCACAAGTAAAACACAGTTGACTCAAATCAAAATATAATATATTTCTCAGATCTTCTCATAATCAATTATTTGGAGAGACAGTAAATGACAAAACATCGAACTATGACCCAGCAGCCCTATTTGACAGGATGCTGAAAAGTGAGCTTTGCCTAGTTTATCTCCGGGTACTCGATGTCTTTGGGGTTGGGTGGCAGCTTTCCTCAAAAGCAGGAAAAACACCTGTAAATATTTAGTCCTACACAACATGTTGTAATGTCTGTATATCAGGTCATTGTGAGAACGGTTTAGGTAACATTAAACGTCAGATCCACTTCCTGTTTGCATGCACGCACATCAGAAACAGTGGTGGCAAATACTGACGTTCCTAGTCTAAATTCACCATTAAACAAACCCTGCACACAGACATCAGAGGCATTCAAGAGTTTTTCTTCTTCTGGGTAAGACAGAACAAAATTCCCCTTTAACTGAACTATTGCTTAACCATAACCAAGACTGGAAGCTCAGTTTCCAGTAAGAGGCTCTTACACACACATACAATAACGTACACCGTGCACTCAAACTCACTGCAAAGAGCTTTGTGCAATGTGAATGCTGGGTGAATGTCAACACACAATGTATGCGTATTTCAATCATTACACTCATGGCTGTGTGAGTATTTTAGGAGCAACAGAGACTCACTGGGTAATGACTGAATGGCTCAACAATGTCCCTCTACCACCATCAACCATAATCTTCCCATTGAGCTAATTCTTCTCAGGCCCTGTTACTGCAATCTACTGCACACATCTGCTCCCCTTTCCCCATACTTTTCTCATTACCGGAGGTTTCAGGATCATGTAACACTCTCAGTAAGGGTCCAACTCTTATTCCATGTATTTATTTTAGTCGCTCTCTTTTTGTGTGACTAAATTCTCTCAGTTTCCCACTTCTGCAGGTCACAGCAGCACAGTGGCTTAACGCACCACTGGATGGCTGGGTTGGCTGGACATTGTGTGTTTAGCCTCGTAGTGAGTCTTTGTGTCTTGCTTTAATGTGTGTATATGTGATTTCTAATGTTGAAGCAGTCCTCCGAGACTGTACAGCCAGGGCAGGATATTGTGGGGGTGGGACAGTCACTCAACACAGCCTGACGGGGGGTCAGAGTAGAGCTACACCACTGCCAAATAAAAACCACTGGGAAAACAAAGATAATATAAACAGCTTGTGCTACAAGTTAACTTAACAGGACAAAAAGTGGACTTGAGATGTGCAGAAGAACAGTTTAATCTAGATAAAGAGAAATGAATCCCTGTCCACTGCATAAATTGGTCAACACTGTCCAGTGGATAGAACAGATAGCAGCAGATTTGAGGGTGAGGCATAGGGAAGGGAGGGGTGTAAAGTAATCTGTCCACTCTGATAACCTTCAACAACTGCATGACAATCAGTCCCTAGTGTGAGGAGAAAGAAAACAAATACAGGGATCCAGGAGGCACAAAGCTCCAGCAAACATGGCAGCAGAGATGGTTATTTTTCATGTTATGAGTTAGGCAACACAGTTTGCCTCAGGAGGGGAGGTAGAGGGGTTCAGAAGGGGAATAGAGACAATTAAAAGAAGCAAAAAAAGTTATAAATTGATTATAGAGCAAGGCAGATGTTAAAGAAAGAAAACACAAGAAAATCAGAGAACAGTAACAGGCTGCTAACAAGGGAGAGAAAAATGTGCATGCAGTTACAACAGTCAGGCATGCATGTACATACACAGTTACACTATTATTGCACTCCTCTGAGACCCACAAAACTGCACCCTCTGCGCCTTCATTCAGAAAGGACACAAAATTGTAGGTTCAGTGTTGGCTACATGACAGAAACTGAAAATCCCTGTGCAGCTGCGGTTAAAAAAATCTATACGATAAAGCACAAGAAAAAAAACACTCTCACGAGGTGGGTTAAAATCAAGATCAACTGGACTTGTTTGAAGATACTCGAACAAGAGAAAAAAGTTTTACAACAAAAGACCCTGAAGTTACACAATACACGACAAAAGCTCATTCACCCGAGAGATGGTGAATCTGTAATTACTCCTGCAGGCTTTTCTGCTCAACGAGCTCACATCTCAGAGCGACACAGGAAAAAGTTACAGCGTTCGTCCTTTTAAAACACTGACTTATCTTGTGTTGCTGTCTGCTGTCCACTAGCTCGACAGACACACGTTAATTAACAGTTACACGTTAACTAACAGTTACATGTTAACTAAGTTAACGACCAGCCGGCTTGTCAACCTGTCACCGAGTTTCACTAACTGACACTTGTTAAACTTAGATGTGACAACAAATCTTCCGGTTTTCAAATGAAGATGTAGCTAAGTGAGGCCAAACAACAACTTAAAACATCGACAAAGAAGACCAATAGCGTTGACTCACCAGTTCAGCAACTGGACAAACCCGTTGTTCACTATAGTGGTAGTCAAAATAGTTTGCACGCGCAACCCAGAGCACCGACAGCGGAGGAGATACCATTTTCCCGGAGGGATGTAGGATTTCTGCTTTTAAACACAAAACCGAGGGTTAAACCTTAGAGTCACATAAGAAATTCACATTTTTACTGTTAAACTCGACTTCGACTTTCTTTCCAATGCATCCATGAACTGAACTTACTCTACTAACCCTCTACTGATAACGAGGTAACGTAAGGATGCCCCCCGCACAGTTGCCACTCTTGGTACAGTCCTATTCAGGCTTCAAATCCTGTCTACCGCTGTTGTCTACTCAAAAAATACACAATAGACTGTCTGCCTGTGCTTTCATTAAGTGACATATAAATAGTTACATGACCTACATATGGTGAGTCTACACTGAAACAACTAGAAGTAGAGTAAGATACTGCATTTACACATAATAATAATAATAATAATAATAATAATAATAATAATAATAATAATAATAATAATAATCCTTATTTGTAGAGCACTTTTCAAAAACAAGTTACAAAGTGCTTTAACAAGTGTAAAGAATAATACAAAAAAAAAACAAGATAAGAGCATGAAAGTAAGATGTCACACACATAAGCATCTGATGGAGATAGATGGTGAAGCCTAAAAAGGTAATACAAACAGCACTGCCTGTGACCTTAAGTATTGTATGGCTACAAAGTAGTCCCTTTCCATCTCAAGGTAAGAAAGGCCAAATGTCCTTTGGCCTTTCCTCTTGACTCACCTGCACATACCTAGTCACACCTAAGCTAACTCTAAAAAAACAAAAAGCCTGTGTGAGGATGAAGTGACCAGCCTCATCTTACAAAGTCATTTTAGGCTACTTCACTGCCAAGCAAATATCTGTAATAAACTTAAATAGTTTAAAAAATGTTACACGGTTGCTTATGCTTATGTGTGTGACATCTTACTACCAGTGTCTCCATTGGCCTTTTTTTGCAGAAGACATTTTGAAATGTCATAGCAGAAAAAGCAAACTAAATAATAAAATGAATGATGGCTGAACTAGATTCAGCTCCTTCAGTTTCAGGGTCCTGGTATTGTGCATGCTGTCGCTCTACCATTGCTTACAGGGACAAAGGAATAGAACAGAGTAGTTATGCCTGTGCTTTTCCGAAGAAAAAGGGTCGATGCCCATCTGTCACTTACATGCTCACATTCATGTTTCACTTACAAAGGGACATTTTTTTCATGTGAAGTAAAATCTGATGTGTCCATATGTTTTAGGTAATGACAGTGTAAGAAGTTTCTCTAATCCAATCACAGAAAGTAAAGATAGAATTGAACATTTCTACTCACTAATTGAAACTAAGCGTGTAGAAACAGCACATAAGAAATGACACCCATGCTCATGTTTCTCTGTAAATGGTTCTGACTGGAAGCCTCAAATGTCTGTGGTGTAGTAAGTGGGTGTAAAGAGCCTTTCTGCGACATCATCTCTGATTCAAACGTCAGTTTCCATAAAATGAAACACTGCCTAGTGTTGCTCATGTGAAGTCTATATAGTGCTGTCAGGCAGGATTGTGAAAAAGGAAGATGATGATTACTTATCTGATTACCTAATTATTTAACTTAGTTTAAAGGGAAATTGATGTTTGGCTTGATAATGGTGGCAAATTATATTCACATTTTCAATTGAATTTAAAATTAAATGTTTATTTAACAGTGGATTTCACAGACAAAGGCCTCTGAAAACATATCATATTTCATTATAAATCATTAGATAGTACTTGAAAAGTAGAAAATAAAATTAAATCGAAACACTTCAACACCACTGAAAAGCTCCATCGTCTGTGTTACTATCATCTACAGTAAGGTGTCCAGTCTGATCAGGTCCAGCCGTAACAAAACCTTTAACCATACTAATTCTCATCTAATTATGGCCTTCAACAATTTCTTACTGGTTTTCAGTCCAGTGTGTATTTGTGGGCATATGTTGTGAAATGATTTCAGCCATCAATGTGCCTGCTTCTGCTTCCTGTCATGTGATTTCCTGTGAGCTGTCAAATTCAGCTACAGGTGGTCGGTCTCTGTGGACAGATTGTACATTTACTCAACCTGCCAGAAAGTGAGTCGTACCAACGGGACTTGAGGAACAACACTAGCTCCAGATCGGCCACTCGGGGGTCTTTCATTTCAGTGTGGCGTTGATGTGAGCTGCAAAAGACGGATATTTTGATGCAGATTGCGGAAGTAAATGTTTCAGAACTTTAAGTTGTAGCGTTGGCGGAGATGCTTGTTAAGTTGATGAAGCGAGAAGAGTGGTGTTTAAGCATTTGTTATTAAAGAGGAAGTGCAGGGAGAAAAAATGGAGGAGCACGGTACTGTCAACTTCATGAGACTGCTGTCAGGTAACATCATACAACTGTGGTTGTGCGTTTACATCTATATATGTGTGTGAGAGAGAGACGACATCTTGCTTGTTCAACACTGCGTCTGCACTTGTAGTATGTGTGAATTTGTGTGGGATTATGCTGAGTGATACACTTACAGTACATGTACTGGATCTTTGCATATATAGTTTACTGCCAGATGAAACTAAGAGCCACGATTACTTCATTTCTTGGGAATAGGATACATTTGGTGTCTGAAACTGCCCATTACCGCACTCACATCGAAAACTACATGCAATGTGCAATTTTATTGCTTCAAAGTAACAGTGGTAAATGCTGACACATAAAGGTGTTATCAAAAAGAATACACTTGCATGATCTATGAATTTAAACACTTACAAGATTCTACTGAGATTGCATACAGAGGCAAGAGAAAGAATCAACAGAAAATTTAGCTGTAACTAATTTTGTGATTGAATAATTGTTTTGATAATTATACCAATAATACCAAACATTTGCTGGTTTAAACTTTTCAAGTGTAAAGATTTGTGTTTTTTCTGTGTTTCATATCATTGTAAACTGAATATACTTGGGTTATATATGAAGATGTAACTTTGGGATCGATTTATCAAGAAAATAATCTGCAGATTGATTATAGAATAACTGTTAGTTGTAATCCTATACAGCCTGTAACAAAAACTGCTTTGTATGTAATCATGCACTGGAATCTACATTCATGTACCGTGTGTAGGAAATCACACGTGTAAATATATACAGATATATATACAGCGTGTGTCTTTCTCACCACAGATGAGAGCACTCGTTCCACCGTGTCGTCGGACTCCTGTGAGTACTATCAGACAGAGATATTTGATCAGCTGCCCAGCGTCCAGGCCATCCGAGCCGAACAAAACAGACAGGGTTTTGGGGAACCCTGCCAGGCCAACCAGGGTGGCTCAGAGCCGGGGGAGAAGATCAGCCATGGCCACCTGTCCAGAGGACCAAAAGACAAGACATCTACACAGCCGCTCAGGAACCTGGTCATGTGTATTCAGGGGAAGAGAGACGCCAGGTGGGAGAGTCTACACACTCCTGAAATCTGTGTCTTCTCATTCTCTAGTTACATTCTAGTGTAAAATGTCCATGTTGTTGCCTACTTTAGCATATTATGTAGCATCCTGTTGTTGAATATACATTTGATTTTTCTTTTAATTACCACCATATTTTATTTTTTATACCTTATTCCAGTTGTTCCCAACCATTTTTGTTAAGTTAGTTAACTTTGTCTACTTGCAACACCATGTTTACTTGGCCAGAAGATGTGAAAGGATCTCATCATCCTCACACAAAAAGCTTTTGAATTTTTTTTAATATATAATCATAAATAAAATATTTTTGTGTGGCAGAAGTGTGTTTCTTCTGCTTTGCTATCTCGTTAATCATCTTGTAACTCAAACTGATCTTGTGATCACTTTGGGTGGGGGGTCCCATCTTCCAGGTTGGGCACCACTGCCTGAAAAAACCCTTAGACGATAGCCTTGTTGTAGTCTGTGTTTATTTCAACAGAATATTTGTTGTTTGTTTAATTTAAACCTGTGCAAACGCACGCCTGTATTCTAGGCACATCCTATCATCATGGCATTTTTCCTCAAGCTGTTGAGTTTACTGACTTGCAGGAGACGGGTTTTAAAAAAAAAAGAGTGGTCAAAATAAGAAATACCCAGACTTTTAATTCCTTGTTTGGGTCAAGCATTAAAACACTGGATCCTACAATTCCCATACTGCAACTCAATAGGATCTGTCATTACACCCTTCCTGCCTGGTGAACAGAGATGCACTTCATTCATAGACTGTATGGTTTCACACCTACACATGTCTTTTTGTCAAAATGTGTCCTAAAGCCAAAGTCTCAGACTTTAGAAAGCTCCTCCAGAGCCACAGAAGACATTATACAACTGTTTCCACAGGCTGAGTAGCACTCCCTGTGATTAGTGCATTGATCTTAATGTGTAGAATCAGTAGAGTCTCCATTTAAGTCCTACATGTTTAAATATTAATCTAAGAAGTGATTGTCTGTCTCCTTTTAAAAAGCCTTAATGTTTGCTTTAAAGTAAGGAGATGAAAATGTGCTGCCTCATCTTTTTTTCTGATCAAATACTGTGTTAATGGCATACTCTGTATATAAAAAGGTTAATGGTATTTCGATGATGAGATTTGGGGGTTTAACATTCATGATATTTATGCTACTAATTAGGGACAGGAGGAAGATGCAAATCAGCAATATTGGTTTTTGGGAGTCCTGGAGGCGGAGCCAGACCATCAACAGGATGAGGATTTGGGCACAGATGAGAGGAGCTCTATCAGGCCTGTTGCCATGGCAGAACACTCTCCACACCATTGAAGGTATGAAAGGCCTGAAGTTCACTATAAGGGTCACCGGTTTGTTTCCACTGTATTGTATTTCCCTGACTAGATGATTTCACCTAAAACCATGTCGTTGCACAATTAAAATCACCAACCTGCACTGATGTCTTCCAGGCAGGTTTGGAGTCGGCGTGAAGGCTTACTTTGTTTTCCTCAGATATCTGGTTTACTTGAACCTACTTCACTGTGCTCTTATCTGGGGTTTCATTCTGGGGCCCACAACATTTTATGGCAGGAGCAACAGCAGTGGTGAGTCAGCTGTAATGACAGATTACAGAAAATTAGCCACAACTCAGTGTAGACTCATGCA